CCTTGCACGCACTTCAAGAGTCTTTTTGACCTTTACATTTTCAACTTTCATCCTTGTGCCAATGGAATCATCTGCTCAATTTTCTTGCCATCAAAGAATGTCTGGCAAATGTCATGGGATTGCATTCTACTGCAAAGTCAACACGTGGGGTCCTTCGTCGACTACATGAGCTGGTCACATCGTGTTGTAGTGGAATGAAGGTATGTGATCGTGCTCGTGGTAAGATGATTGCTCTTAGAAACTCAAAGAAGAGGGACGTAGTGATTGTCTGACTTGTAGAGGGGTTCCATTGTCGAGAATCATCATCACTTCCTTCTTTACTGATGTTGGTGTCATTGACTCCATTGTTCTTGACAGCTATAACAGCTAGTAGGAACACAGAGACACAGTAGTCAGAATGAACAGGGAAGCTGCCTGATGAGTACTTGTAAGAGAGAACAATGTGACTGCCAGCTTCCTGTTGCTTGGTTATTGATTGTTGTTTGCTATGTTGTGGCTAAGCTTGTTGATGTGCTGCTGCTGTGTTGTTGTTGCTGTTGTTATTGTTGTTGTTCTGGAATTGAGAAAAATTGAATGGCTTGGGATTAGGTTATGTTGCCAAATGTTTGGCAACATGAAATTTTGTTCCCGTGGGATTGGAACATGAAAAAGAAGATAATAGTACCAAGTTCCAACTAGGTGCCAAGATGAAACCAAGTTTACTTAAGAATGTCCCAAGACACTGGTGGGAATCAAGTAATTTAAAACTCTTGGGAGTACAGTGGGTAAATAACTCTGGAATTAGAGAAAAGGCAAAAAGGTTTAAGAAGTTTCCACTTGGTCATTTGGTGCTCTGCTTGGTCGGGTACCAAGAACAGATAAAACAGTTAAATTGGTGGTACCAAGGGGACCAAGGGGGTGCCAAGATTTTGGCAAACTTAGCCTAGGGGAGGTACCAAGTTCAAAGGAAAAATTACATAAGGTCCAATTACATACTTAGGGAACTCTCAGGTACCAAGAAACTGAAAACCACAATGTGAGATGCACTATAAGTACAAGTGAGGCCAAGAAGATTTAGCTATGATAGTATCTAACTACCAACTTGGTACAGGTTCCAAGTGGCTTGGGAATGAAAAAGTAAAACTTGGTCCATGGACCAAGAATGTGGCCAATAAAATAACTATTAAAAAGAGCAAAAAAGGTACCAAGTTGGAGCTCCAATAGCTTGGTACCTCTGTGGGAACACACTCATATGCAAACCATTTTCGGCAATAAATCCACTGAGACCCTTTGCGATGACTAAACTTGGTCCAGGTACCAAGTTAGTTGATTACGGTTTGTCTAATTAATGTAACTGTCAAGAGTCCAGTGAAATTACTTAGAAGAACTTAGTACCAACTTGGGTATGGTTTACTGCTGACCCAGCAACCAAGCAGAAAATTGCTTCGCCGGTGAGGCGGTGAAGATAGCAAAAAAAGTGACTTAACAAGGTGAGAGACTCAGAGTTTTATTCGTAGTTGAGGTACTAATTGGTCTACATTAGTTACCGTAATAGCTAATAGAGTAGTACTGTATGCATAAAACAGTGACACAATATACCACGCCTACCTGTAGCAGCTCTGTAGCCTTGCTTAGCTGCCCAAGTGATCAAGGTGATGATGTACTCGTACCGGTACTGTATGCGGTGTCTGGGTTCGCATTTGTAATTATTTGTAATTCACTTCAAGTCAACTGGCTTTTAAATCCATGAGATCAGTTGAGTCATCATCTAGTTTTCCAATAAATCCACTTCCATGTCGGAGATTTCGTCTTTTCCCCTTTTTTCAAGCCTCCGTTTACAGTCCGGTACTACTGTACTGACCGGAGAAGGAGAACTGGATGGTGCACATGTTATTTGACCATCCAAAGGCCACTACCGGTATCGTCAACCCTATTTATTTGTCTGCGGAGCTGAATGAACGTGACTGGACTAGCTAGAGACATACTGTAACGAACGAAAAGAGGCACGATGAGGCACAAAAGAGGCCAACCCTCTTTCATAATTTGATTGTGGAAGCAGTAGAAAGAAAGAAGAGCTGTCTTGACTCACGATGAGCTCTTCTGTGAATGCCGGTGCCAAGGCATTGCAAGAACGTCTGCACGAACTGATTACTCGTTTGGCGGCGACGACCGAATTGGTCAAGAATTGGCCGGAATCCAAAGACGACGATGCGTCGATTCACGTGGAAACGACGACGAAACTGATCAGCCACATCAACAACGTGATTGCTTCGGTGCAACGAGTGGATGGCGTCGTCAAGGCGGATGCGTTACTGCGCAAGAACTTGCAAGAGTGTTTGATTCCCTTGGATTTGCTGGATTTGTTGGATCATGGCAATGGATTGAATCCAGACTGCTTTTCACGGGCACTGCTGCGAGAAGCACTGGGACAGCTAGCCGGACTCAAGCGACGAAAATTGGCACTCGAAATGCTGGGGGCGGCCGTACAGTCGGGGCTCAATCGGGAAGTCGCCAAGGAACGAAAGAAACAACAAAAAGAAAATACTAGTACTTCTACGGAACCAACCAAGAAAAAGAGAAAATTAGAACTATCCGGCAAAACATCATCATCCGCAGCAGACAGCCCTGGTCAAGACGCCAAGGAACCACCCACCAAAAAACAAAGTGTCAGTTAGCAATCTACACGGTAGTCGCAATTGGGCTGTATCTTATACTGGCCTTGCTTCTGAGACCTCGCGAAAATCCAATCGGAGCCAGATGATTGAATCGAATCGTTTCGTCGCACAATGCATCGTGGAGTTCAAATTGATGAATACGACAATCACTGGATACCGAGCTTTTAAAATTGGGAAGCTACACTTATTCTCTATTACCAAAGACAAACTTTATACTATCAATATACAATATCTACATTCATTCTGCAGTTGTCTTCCCTGTATTCATGACTATTGTATCTCAATCCATGCTCTATCCGTCCACAATGGTGCAGGTACCAGTACAAAGTCTCTGCAGTCCGCTCGTTGTATATTGGCAGAAGCCAATCTGAACATGCCGGACAGAGTGGCGGGGTGGTTGTATTAATAGACCTCTAAAGACGAAGGAAGTACGCTAAAGTATTCAATCACTGTACGATTGTACTGCATGGCCTGCTCGTGCCCTTCATTGATCGCGTCCTGACATCGGCACGGGACTACCTCAATTTCAGGTTTTCATGTGAAGCTCCAATGATCCTTAGTTAGTTAGAAACACTTTCTGTCAACTTTCAGGTTGTATGACACACCTGCCGTGACATGATCTTCGACTTTCTTTCTTTCTTTCTATTACGCTCGCTTTATTTGATTCTTCGCCACTTGACCCGCATGATGGTGCTCGCGATCGCTCGGTGTGTCATACAACCCTCCCTCGTTTTGCTTTTGCAAGCTTGTGCCATACTACGCTGAGCTTTTGATTCATTCATTCATCCACGCGCTCACGGTGTTTCACAGAACTCTCCCTCGTTCTGCTATGAAAGCACATGTCATGGTGCCGTCTAGCTGGCAAGCTAGGTCCATCCGACCTGCACAAAAACTCAGTTTTGTCATCGTGCCGCAAGCTACGGTACGGTGGTGGGTCCGGCCGGCCCGCACACAACTCAGTTTGCTTTGCACTAGCTTGTCGACATATCCTTCGTTGCCTGTCTCTGGTCCGTCGGTATCAGTGGTTCGAACCATTTGTCTCGTAGAGTAGGCCACCTTCACCCTTCACCCAGGCTCTTCAACTACTGTACGGACCCTCGGGCACCAAGCTAGCTAGCTAACCATTCAATTCTGTTCTCTCTCTGCTTTGGCAAGGGCAAGAAGAGCTCGTGCGTGAAACGTGAGTGATCCTGTGCTTCAGGTTTTCAGGTGAAGGAAGCAAATGGCACGCGCTCTCTCTTTCCTTTGGCTATATATCAAAGAATTTCTTTCTCTCTCACAACCAGGCTCTTCTGCCCCTGGAGGGGCTCCGGTAATCCCCAGATGACGTCACCATAAACCCCAAAGTGTTTGGCGAGTCGCGAGAAGTCGCGAATAGTCGCTTAGAGTCGCGCGATTCGATGCGGATTACCGAACGAGTCTTCACGATTCCACGCGACTCCTCGCGACTCCTCGCGACTCACTTCTTAAGCACTTGTATTTATCCCGATATGGTGTCGCGACTCCACGCGACTCCACGCGTTTGTACGCGACTTTATACGCGTTTGCGCGCGACTGCTCGCGATTGCACACGACTGTGGTGGCCACTGCACCGGCGCGACTGCTATTGGGGGTGGGATCGCCAAAAGGCCGGTAAACCGGAGGCCCTCCAGATACTTGCCGTGCGGACCGTGGCTCCAACTTCGATTGGAGCCATCGTTGGACCCTGGCGGATGCGCACAGTGAACTGACGTTTCGAGGTCCCGGTCTCAATGAGACCGGGACCACGAAACGAAGTCGGATCTCAATGTTATCTTCATTGTAAGTTCAGGGACAGGAGGGCCGCCCCTCCCCTCCAACTCTTTTGCTCCCTCTTTTTGCCCAATGATATACGCATTAGTTAGACTAGATTTCTAAAGTGGTAGCCAGAACAAAAGGGCTGCCTGCTACCTATGCGCGCTCAATGCTTCAAGCCTCACAAGTTGACTTTGTCAAACTCCTTTGCCTTCTTCTTGATTGAGCCTGTGCTTCCATGAGTTGTTACCTCTGGCATTGATCCGCCTGAGAGTGCATCCATGAATACCGGGGAGCCCGAGGTTGTACACTCGAAATACTGCACGGGCGATTGATTGGCTGAGAGACTTCCGTGGGATCTTCTTTACCGTTCCGAAAAGGCTGAATCCAATACAGGACGGAAACTCGTGACACGCACGGGTACGTCAGCAGGTTCCGTGGAACTCCTTGAGATATAGGCATCGTGAAAGGTCAATAAATCACGGAATTCACTGAACAAAGCTCAAAGCGATAAGCCCGTCTCAAAAGAGATAAAGTGCTGTTTCGCGTAATAAGTAGACAAATTCTTCGTGACGTAAAAGGCTTGCTCGATTGCCAAGATAGGTACGGAAACAATAAGTCTCGTGTGCACCGTACTCCTGATAGCTTCTTTCGTGCGAATTGGGTGCTTTTGTCGTGTCAAGGTAAAGTCGCCAACAGTAGCGGAGCTGCGCTAACGTAGTCAATGAGGTTGCGGCTTTTGTAGGTCCTTTTCTAAGGCAATGGTGATAGTGTCGGTCGTGTAGTTGGATTGGTGGGTGGTCAACTCAAAGGTGCCTGAAACGCTCTGGTGAAGACTAGAGCTGTCAAAATTGACCAGAAGATTGTTGAGTTTGGGCTTCAAAAGTAGGCCTTGAAATCCACACCAAATGCCAGGGAAATTCCAATGGAACCAACTGTAACTGTAGTGTAGCACTGATTGTTGTAGTGTGGAGAGCTCCTTGTCAACCTTGAGACTCTCCTTCCCTTAAAAACTGCCTGAATTCTATCCTGACTGTTAATCCAATAAGGTTTTCTGGAAGGATCCAGTTCCAATACTCCAGTAGTGGACTGGACCTCGCTGAAACCCTTCCTCAGGGGCAGCGTTAGTCAGGCAGTTCAGGGAGCCCTGTCGTGCCTCAGGAGTGTTCCAGCACCTCCAGTAGGCACCCAAAACAAGGACTTGGTCCTGTCAGTTAGACAGGAGGGCCAGCAGTGCTCTCTGCTGGACCCTTTGGGCCAGCTCACCTCAGGGGCTGGGGGCTTTCGTTATTCATGCGTGCAGTGGCAGTCTGGGAATAGTACTATCTGCTACCTCCTACTGCTTCTGCCCCGCCTCAACAGGATTGGTAACAACTGCTGCGGTATCAATGGGGTTACAAGCTAATCAGGATCTGTCTCAATCTTTCGTACTATTTTCTTAACTATGATGGAAAGGACGATCCTTTCTTGCTGCTTTGCTGGAGATAAGCCAGCTGCGGGTGCTGGAGCCGTAGGCAAGCATAGCGTGTTGGAGCTATCTCTGACGGGATCCAGAGCTCTCGCTCCTAAAAGTTATCGCAGCTCTGCTTGTTCATGGAGTGCATTGCGTGACCAGTTCGCCTCTCCATTCAGTGACAAAGTTCAACCAATCGTGAAGCTGATTGATGGATTCCGACATGAGCTGTCTGCTTAGCTCAACACCTGGGCCCGAACCAAAGATGGACCCACGTATAGTTGAAATGGTGATACGCGCCCTCTTCAAAATGTCATCCTTGGCGGAGCTGGATGTGCTTCCGCTGAAGGCGTCAAAAGTCTTGAGATTGTGGCCGAAGCCATGCTCGGGGTTTACAATAGTCTTGCAAGTGGCGGTCTTTCCGAAGAGCATCAGGGGAACAACGTGACTCATGGTGGCCATGAGATCTACCTCAAGGCGAGTTGCTTTGATGTTCTGAGAGGATCTGGACTTGTCGGCATACTGTTTTCCGTCGTAGAACTGATCCGTTGACATGCACAGTAGCGAGAAGAAGTCTGGGAACCAGCCAACCGAGATATCGTCAAGCACATCCTCAAGTTCAGTGGCGACATCGTGCCAGGAACCGAACGTGGTTTCCCCAAACTGAAAGGTGTTGACACCAGCCACACGCTTACGAAAGTCGTCACAGTTGCTAGAGAGCTGTGCCATTCTGTCTTCCAGGTGACGAATTGGGTCATGGCGCATCAAGCCTCCAACTCTCGAATTGAGCGAAGACACCAGGTTCTTTAGGTCATCAACATCAGCTTCGATATGGATGTTACGTTTTGGGTGGCCCCTGTCGAGTCCAGGTGTGCCGAAACCTTCGAACGTTATGCCAGATGTTGGAGTGCCTGGTCCGACAAGGTTGATCCCGTCCACAGCTTCTTCCAGGTCTCCCATCCGATTCTGAAGATTCACAATGGTTGTCTTGTAGTGTTTAGCCAGATCCTTCATTTGGACGTGACCTCTTTCCACTCGAACAATGAGTCCTTCCGTTCGCTTGTCAGCGGACAGAATACGCAGTCCTCGATGGAGGATGCAAACGACCAGAGATTGGGGGATAGTCCTTCGTCTAAAGGACGGTCTCCCACCTTTGAGCTCAAAAGCCGAATGCTCGATCCAAGAGGAATCCGAGGATGTTGATGTGGTGCTAAATCTCGAGCGTGGGGATTCCCTGCTAGAGCGGCACTAGGCTGGTGATCTGTGTTTCTGGCTGACTTCCAATAAAGTCTTGACAGGTTTGTGAGCGAGCTGGGCAGAAGTCTCCAACCGACCAATGTTCCTGGATGTCCGTCCGGCGATGGTAGCGTCGTTTGTGTTTCTTGCTCGAAATGACAAAGCGTCGAGTTTGACACTCGCCGTTTTGACTTTGTTTTCCTCCTTGCGAAGCTTGAAGTCCATCTTCAATGGAGTGGAGACATCAGTGGCTGATTTGATTATCTCATCAACAGTCTTCAATTTGGGAGGGGACACCTCTGACGACCATTTGACGGCTGCGGCTTCGTCTGCTACCGACTTGTAGAAAGTCGATTTTCGTTCTTCCATCGCCAAGATAAGAGCGTCCACATGAAGGAACTTGTCGATCCATGATTCGACCTCAGCTTTGATGCTGGGGTCGACCTGGGCCAGGTCTACACATGGAGTCATGAATCCAACCGGCTTTGTGGGGTGGTCACGAATACCAACATATGCGTGTCCCATTTCCACCTCAAACTTGGTGTCGTGAGACTTGATGGCACATTTCCTAGGGTCTATCAAACAAAACCTGTCCCTCTTGGAACTACCAATGATACCGCAGCAGTGGTGGTCGTAGAATCCTTTCTCGGGCACAAACACAGTCGCCAAGTTGCTAGGCTTACCTCCTTCTTCTCCAACACCAGTAATGCCAACCGGCGCGGAGCGCGTCGACGCATCATCATTAGAACTTACTCGCCCTCCCTCCGATCGCTGGAAACGTCCAGGTTCGCTGCTAGGCGATTCTCTTCTTCGCCACTCGCTTCGCTGGATTCATCTCAATTCCACCCAAGTCGAAAGCCTCATCATCCACAGTCTCGACAGAGGGCTTGCTAGCCGCATCAGCCGATTCCAAAAGATTTTTCCGATTTTGCCATTGTTAGATACTACTCGTTTCCTTCAGTCTACTCAACTCTCACGCTTTGCCGCTTGTGAAGCAAGTTTGGTCTTAGACACAAACTAGAAGCAGTATGGGGCACAAATCCCACGTTTTATCGATCACAAGAACAGATTGAAGTAAAAAACAACCCCCCCCGTAATAGAAAAGTGAGAAAGAGAGAGGAGATAGCAGCGGGAAAGTAGCCAAAAAGCTCAACGGTCGGAAGGAAAACCGGCGAGAAAGAGAGATGAAAGAGCGGGAAGTGCGAGCGGAAGACGATGGAAGAGGATGGGCGAGGATGCGTCGAGCGGATGAAACATCCTGTGGTATTCATGTGATGCGCACTCTCAGGCGGATCATGCCAGAAGGTAACAACTCATGGAAGCACAGGCTCAATCAAGAAGAAGGCAAGGAGTTTTGACAAAGTAAATTGTGAGGCTTGAAGCAATCAGACCATTACTTGAGGCGAAATGGTGGTGATGCTCCACATTGTCTTTGACAGCTTAACCTGCTTAGATCTCCTTTAGACTTCACCCTACTTGGCATTGAGCGCGCATAGGTACATCTATTTGGTTATCCAAAACATCAGCAGCATGGAAGCTGGCTTTATGAGATAGATGTCATGGTTTCTACGTTTAAAAAAAGGCGTTGTAACCTATAACCGTTTTCAATTCTAACCAAGAGGATTACAGGTTTACTTCACTATAGACTACTAGCAATGATTGGAACTCATAGCTACGGCCGGTAGAAATCAAGCCGGACTTTTTGCTTCATCATCATTCGGAAGCTTGACGCAGAATGCGCTTTCTGCAGCTGCGGCGCCTTTGCGTGGTGTCGGGATCGCACAGCTCGATGGAGTTTACTGTCTTTGCAAATCGGATCGATTCCTTGTTCTTGGTCAAGAACTTCGAGACTGTCTCTCCACTCTGACGGCGGGCCTTGGATCTCTTGGCCCGTGATGGTCCTTCCGCCACCACGTCTTCCTTCTCCTCGTCTTCCATATCCATGACAACAATCAAGTCTTCATCATCTTTCCGACTGTCATCGTTATCATCCTCGACCAGAAATGTGGCGGACTCTTCTCCGAACGCACTGCGAGGTCGTGCCAGCAAGTGCGCAATCTCGTGTTGGACGGACGACACGTGAAAGATGGCCTCTAGGTCTTGGAGGACGCTTTGGGGAGAGTTGCGACGCATGCGTTGCAGGTCTTGATCGCAGTTTTCAATCCTGTGGGCTGCCAAACAGCTGCTGCCTTGCTGGATACCCTTGACGGCTTCTCCACTCTGTCGACGAGGCTTGGTTCTCTTGACGACCTTGATATTATTACCGGCATGTGCTTTTTGTGGTTGGACCATGGTTTGTTTTTTGGTTTTGCTGGGTACTGTAGCTTGTTGGAGGTGGTGGTTTCAACTTTCTGGTTTTGAAATTGTGAGCTCTTCTCGAGTAGAAGATCGTAAGTTTAGAGTGGTGCAATCGCGGGTTTGGGTGTTTCGTGGCGTTCCTTCGTGCCATTCGCCGCAAACTGGTGAACTGTCGTGGTTTACAAGCAAGTGAGTGTCTTTGGTACTATCTCCCATAGCAAACACTCAGCAAAGGGAGATAAATTTGATAAAAGAGTCTTGTCGTCAGCTGTTCTGACATGATTTCTTTAGAGGAGTCATACCCGTTTTCTTTTAACTTCTGCCTCCTCCTAATCAGCTTTCGCAGATTCGTAACCAACGAAGGCATTGGAGCGTCCGAGTATGACCTGTTCCAGGTACAGTACGCTTTTTTTGTTACTCGTGAAGATTGTCACTCTGAAGCAAAGAAAGCTTCGTAAAACCCTCTTCGCCACGCAACTTGCCCACAATTTCAAGAAAGCACAGCACACAACAACTAGTTCAGGCGCTCAGGCTACCTATTAATAGCTGCATGCATGGTTGCTTGGTTGATGTCAGTGGATAGCATAGCTCGACCAAACTCTCCCAGTGGAAAAGAAAACTTTTGTGATGCGAAAGAAACGTGATGTATTGCATTGTTTGTCTCAAAGTCCCTTGCCTATTCCCGTTTTGTTTTGCCCAAGCAAATCCATCGGGATACTGGTAACACGTATGTTGGTTTGTTGGCATGCATTACATTGATTGAAGATTACTCCTCAAACTTCGTGCAAAGACTGGTTGATGTGGTACTAGTAAGTGGAGGCTGGCTGTTTCCAAAGTGATTCTATTCTTTGCAAAAGGTAGCTCCATGTAGTACCGGTTTCTAATTTTCTGACTTGATGCCCTCGCGCAAGGTGGTACTGGTAGCAGACTTTGACGAGCGACGGTCCAAGCGATGGATACCCCGGCCGGGCAAGCAACATCTTGACGAAACTTTACCTCCGACCAGGAAGTCATACCAGTGCAAGAATATCATAAGCAAGCCAGTCATGTATTTCCATTCTCAAATGGTTGATTGCTCCAATAGTAGACTGATGACTGGCTCCCAATTGAACAGGCAGCTACTTCCTTGGCTTGCACAGCTGTAAGACTCTGCTTGGTTGCTCCTCTGCTACGATCGTGGCGCAATCCTGGATCGTTTCTCGACCATGACGGCTATTCGTACAATGCCGGCACAAGACGGTCGCTACTCCTCTTGATGTTCACTGCCTAGAACTTTGAAATGGCCAATGCAGCCTTTAGCAGGTCTTTTGGCCGAATAACGTGCAGCTCACTCCTACACGATTTCGCGACGGTGTTGCTCGGACCTCGGAAACCGTACACATTTGCCAAGATTCCACCATGCTTTTCACTATCGAATCGATCGCTACAAAGGCTGAAAGAATCGAATACAGCTGAATTGTTGGCAGGATGCTAGGCTACAATTTCTTCGCCGTGTCGTCGCTGCGATTAGCTTGCTTCCCGGCTCGGGCTACTGGCAGAGCAGCACGACCAAAGAACGTGTCTGTCGCATGCCCAGCAACAACTGACTAAAGAAGCCACATGCTGACTGAGTAGTGTATATTCCGCTTTGTGAATGTCGTTTCAATTCTGGTACCATTATAGTGCTTCGCCCTCCAAACATGGCGCCTCAATCGTCCAACTGCGCACACCCGGTTTCGTGCAAAGCGTTGCTTCATTTCCCAAGTCTTTTCTTTTTTCGACGCAGCTTCCAGACAAACATCAGCAACAGGTACGGTCCACGAGTTCGCATGCATGTATGTCATTAGTAGTTATTTGCTATTCGGAGTCAACACTACGTCGTTGGAAGCGGAGGGCGGTAGACACCCTTACTAGAAGTCTGTTGTCCTCCACTTCGCTGAACCAAAGTGGCATGCATGCATGCATGCAACCTTGCTTTGATTTGCTTTGCTTTTGCCCTCATCTCAAGTCTAACCTTTTGTGTGTCCATTCTGCTTTTTCATTCGAGAACAAGTCGATCAGCCGTTTCCAACAGCAACCCACCTCAAGCCTCCTTCAAAGTCGGTCCTTGTCCATCCGCGCGTGCTTCGCCTGGCTCCCGTCCGACCGCGTCCCAAGTCATATCTTCAATCGGCGTAGAACCAAGACCATCTTCAAATCCAAGAGCAAACCTAGCAGCCTCAGCGACGTCTTGAATCACACAGATACGGTCCGCTAGTGAACCCCGCTGCATGCATGCCATTTGAACCTTGAGGGGATGCTGGGGCCAGTTTTTCGGGGCTGATCTCTTTACTCCGCTGGTGAAAGTGGCATGTATGCATGCATGCATGCATGCGGGCACGTCTACATACTTTGCTTTGGCGCTCTTCTCAAGTCTAACCTTTTGTATTCCATTCTGTTTTTCTTAGGCAACATGTTGTCTTTGGCCCTGGTTGCCCCGGCTGGTTGTGTCGTCGAGTTCATGTTCACTCTTAGATAGTTAAGTCTCTCTCTCGAACTCTTTGGTCCGGTGAAGCCATGGTTCCAAGTTCTTCGCGGTTCGGGGGACCGGTGCCGGTCGCGACCCATGACCCTTTCGTTTCCTTGGCTTTGATTGCGGTGTCCATTCGCTCTTCGATAGATTACGTCTCACACTGCCTCCTCTCCGCTTCCTCGTGGTCCTTCTCTTTCCTTTCTGCCTTTGCCTCCAGCCGCTTCGGTGAATTCCATCTTCGTGGCTTTGACGTTGCTTTTTCGTCCTTTGGTTTGGTCGCCTGCTACCAACTGTGCATGTCCGGGCTTTGGGTGTCCCGCAGGGTCTCGAGCCAGCTTATCCCTTCTTTCGGCTGGCTCCTCTGCCCTTTCCTCACATCACCTAACATGCACAAACCGCAACAGGGCGACCGATGTCGTGCCTAACCGTAGCTTTCATTCTCGTGGACGGCGGCATTTCTAGGGCTAGCTCAGTCCCCAGATGATGGGGCCTTGCGCTGCTCGCACTTCTTTCTTTGGCTGCCACGCACCCAACCGTCGATTGATTCTGGTTTGGCTTTCGTTCTTGCTGTTGCTTATTCTGCACCATGGCATTCTATCGCCTCATCAAAGCACCCTGAATGGTTCTGGATATAAGGGACTCGACTATAGATAGAGCACGACGCCTTGCCTGCCAGGTTGAGAGAATCGAATCGAATCCGAGCTCCACCGTCAACGAGAGACACAAACGTGCACGTGCCTGCATGGCTACATAAAAGCCAGAGCTGAAGAAAGGAATCTACAATATGCATCTATTATCTGTCAAGATTATGAGACTTACAATCACAACCTCGTAATCATGGAACCTTTGACTTTGATTTCCACAGTCTTTTTCCGTTTGAACTCATCCCCGATAGCCTTGTCGACAAATGTGGTAGACCCACCTCGGCGTAGCTTCTTGCGGTACCAGGCTTGTGGCACCATATCGGAGGGCAGTCCAATCTCCATACGAAAGGCATCCGGGCTGAAGATGGGTGTCGTGTACGGGCGATCGACGATGCGAACAGCTCGGTGAGGGACATCTAACCATACTTCATCGTGGTCATCAAGAATGCAGTGGTCAATGATACGATTGTCATCACTATTCAGCAGCTGCACTGTGTATCGGTATCCATTCTGGGAGTCTTTCGAACGCTCAAGGATTTCACATGGTCGAAAACACTCGTGCTCTTCCTTGTCGTCCCACTGAAGAACATGTCGGTGTAGATTTCTCCGTCCAGGATGATCGTCCGAGTGGTAGCTCTCCACCGAATAGAAACAAAAGGTTTCCAAGTTGTCGGGGTAAGGGTCGTGCAATTGTTCTACTTGAGTCCTGTAGCCGTTGGGGTGGTGATCTTGTTGGACATTGAACTCCTCTGCCGAAATGAGCTGCGTAGGTATGGATATGAGGGACCGGGCGTGCATTCGTTTCACGTGGCGTTGAAAGGCATCCACCCAAGCCTTGCCGTAATCGATTGTGATTTCTTCGCCTGGCTCAATATCTCGTAGGGCTACAACGTCAAGTGTCAAGCTTTTGCCATGTGTCTTGGCCACTTCTTCTGTTGACCTGGTCAACAGCTCTGGATGGTGATGTTTCTGGCGAGCATGCTGTGCATCTGCACCAGCTTTCTTGTCATGCCACTGCAGTCGCGCATTGGGGTTGGGGGCATGGTTAAGGTAGCTCATGAGAGGACCATAGGGTAGCCACAAAAGATCCGAGTCTTTGTGGCCGTAGCAATAGTTGGTTAGGAGCTGTTGATCATTGGTATCAATGCCTTCAATATCTTCCGTGATCAAGTCGTCCTTGAGAATGGGAAGAACGGGGGAGGACAGAATTGTCGTGTTGCGTGTCAGAGCTCGTTTGGCCATGATGCCGTGTCCTTGAATGTGCGACACCTCTACACGGACGTTCTGATCCAAACAGATCACGGCATCATCATCCGGCTGATATTTGGACAAGAAATAGGCCCCGCCATCGTAGTTGTCATCACCGCATTCGACCGTCAGTTCTTCACCGGGACTAATGTCGCGTGCGGCCACGTACGTGACATTTCGTTGCGGAGCATGAGCACCCAAGTACGGATCGTTCTTCTTTTGGTAGCGACTGTGATGGGCATGAAGTGATTCGCTAGCTCCATCCTCCTTGCCAGGGCCCAAGATTCGCAAGTTAAAGTTGGTCGACGTGCAAGGAGCGATGGACGCCAATCCAGGCATGAACAACGCCGTGAGTCCAGCGGGATATACCACGGCAGTCTCGGGCATGTTGTCTTCTTCCCAAACGTATTCACGAAGCGGTGGATGTGACTCGTAGATGGACTCGGCGCCATAGAAGGGCAGCAATGGTTCGCCAGCTTGGCCGTTGGCTCCATTGTAGAGAGGTTCGATTTCGGTGCCTTTTCGGATCGCCTTTCCAGTGAACACGCCCAGCCCGTATCCATGGCTTTCCGCCATTTTGATATGTGACGGACCTAGCCACATCCCACACGATGACATAGCTTCATCGTTTTTGTTCGTATTGGAGCGTTCCGAACCACTCTCTATATCATACGGACACGCACCACCCTCGCATCGTTGGCTGTTCGCTGCTGCGGTTGACGTCACTCCTACCGCTATCCATAGAAGGAACATGACATGGTGTTGTTGAGAAGACTTGCTCATGGAGACGACGGATGATGCCGATGCCTTGGTCTTCGTTGTTTCTGGTGTTTGCTCTGTTGTGGGATGGAGCACCCCCCTCCACGCTTCTACCGGTATCCGAGCACCTCTCGGATACAATGCGTTGGTTTGGGAAAAATGACGGCTTGGCGCACGCGGAAGAGGTTGACTCCCGTCACAGCAGAAAGAAGTCATGAATGGTAGTTCTGGTAAACATAGAGTTAAGGGTATTACTGTATTTACTCTGTAGATTTCTTTATCAACTTTTAGAATGGTTTGTTTACCGCATCTACCTGCATTCAAATCTGCCTTCCAGAAGACTTGGATTGAACCATTGCCTCGCTCCTCGCTTCAGCACGTGGGAAACAGTCTTGATTTGTCGAAAAGCCAAGAGTTGGCCGCTGGCTTCATGCACTTGGCCCGTTCACTGTCAGGGACTTGACGTTGGTCGATCGTAGAAGTGGTTTTTCTGCCCCCTCTCGCCGAACCATCCAACAGAGGATATCGACACTAAGCCCCTTTTAGCTCTAGCTAGCTAGAGACCCCAAGTGCTTTGTCCGCCAGTTCCTTGTTGTGCAAGATGGAATCAACGCCATCCCTACTAGAGACCACATCTACCAATACTCAGGAAAGCGTTGGTAGCGATGCTGCAGTTCCTCCGCTTCATCTCCTGTTGGATGCAGGCTATGGAATACCACGTGAAGCTCGACCTCGACAGGAAAAAGTTCTGGCCATTGCCAAGCAGATTGCCAACTTTTTGGCATGGCAATGTCAACAGCAGGATTCTTCTTGTAGCTTACGGGCACCAGTGACGGTTGTTGGCTGTCCCAATGACGACATGAAGACCGCTCTCTTGGAACGGCTGAAACAGCTTTGGGGGGATACTACTGAAATCGGGAGGCAATCGGCTGAAAGACCAACTACTGTCGGTGAAGAAAGCTCTGGGAACAAACGTCTCCCGCCACATTTCTCCTTTGCCAAAGATTTGGAGCATTCCAATGAGCTGCTTCAAAATGCCGTTTACTTGTCCCCTGATGCATCCTCCGCTTTGGATCCATGTGGAGCTCCTCCCTCCAAAGTCATTGTTGGACTACTCATTGATCGACGAATCCAACCCAATCGAAGTCTCAATAGATCCGAAAAGTTGGAGATACCTCCCCGTAGGTGGCCAATGGAAGTTATAGAGGACTATCACCACCCCCAAGAACCACTCAATGTGGATACCATCTTGGAAGCTCTACAGCAGTGGTCATGGAATCACGAGGGCAGCAGCACAACCCAAGAACGTCACGTCCAAGATGACACACCGTTCCGTCGGGCCTCCCTTCAAGCGTTCCAACATCATGCACAGAGACATCCTGCACGGCCGAAACATAAACCATGAACTACTTCCAACTAAAGAATCTCTTCCAGCCTTGCTTCCTATGCGCCAACTTTGCACAAACTAGCTGTCTCATGCAATTGCTCGGGCTCACACGCTGGCATCCATTGCATGATACTCTTGTACCCGTAGAACCCCTATAATCATGTTGATCTTGGCTTCAATACTGTCAATCTTGTCTTCTACTGTGCCAATCTTGGCTTCCAGAGACCGTTGCTTCTGCAATAATTCTGCATGTGTGGTTTTCCAGGAGGGTTGATGGTCCTCATTACTGAAGACGTGGGGTGCTTCGTTACAGGAATTGTTGTCTGCAGTCATTGCTTCTTCGTGGATGTTTCGAACGACGTACGTATTCACGGGTGGTGGCATTCCAATGATTGGTCCATGGGTCCTGTTGATCACCTTCTCCGCTACCTGCCCTTCTTTCATAAACCAGCCATTTTTCTGAGCATAAGCAGTAAAGCAACTCACCACAACTGCGACAGCCATGAATCCAAAATGCAGGAAAAAAGTTCCAGCCATTTGTTCAAGAGTCAACGTATCAGAGTCTATAGAATCACCTTCTGCTGCTGTTGCTCCAGTTCCAGCACCTGAGAGAACACGATGCATAGAAGAAGCCTGGAGGCCCCTGAGTACCTTTGCCTGCTGTGGGACATTGCGGGATTGAAGTTGACGGTTTCTTCGATCTTCATCTTCTTCATCATAGCTGCAGATGCCATCATCTGCTAAAGCTTGGTATTTTTGCTCAAGCGCCGCCAAAATTCCTTCTTCCACAATTTCCACCAAAAATAAATTCACAACATGGCGGACCAAACTGCTGCACTTGTCACCTGCATCTGCTACAACAGCAAAGCCAGACTTGATGGACTTTATTTTCTCACCGACCCACACCAAGTCACATTGAGGGTTGTATTCCTCGATAACCTGAACTTTTTGCCATACCGAAGCATATGTCGCAGCCAGGTCACACTCTCCATTTCTCAGTGACTTGAACACTTCAGAGTCATCAACTCTGGTTTCCCGGCGTGCTTTTGAATAGGTATCACGGATGTAAAAGTCCAAATTGGTGTTTTCAACAGTACACACACCATAATTGTACACCACAGCTGCCTCCATTGAGTCCACCAAAACAGGTTCTATTCGGGAGTCCACAAAGAGAGAGGCAAGATTTGCTGTGTATGTTGCCATGATGACCAGAGCCCAAAAAGTCATGCTGACACCAAATATTCTTCCAGCAAGACTAGTGGGAGCATATTCAAAGTTCTGGGAGAAATTGAGAAAACTCAGGTAGAGGTTGTCGGAGAACCATTGGTAGAGGGACCTGTCTTCTCTCTCTCCGTTGAGATATTCAACGAGCTGATAGACTAGCGCAGACAGGAACACTGTCAGAGCAATCATTCCCCACACAGCTGGTTCAAAAGGTTTAGTCCGATTGAAAGGATCCACAGCATTGGATTCCCGAAGGTTTCTCCTTCTGTCAATCAAAATGATGCTGGAATCCGACCAGGGCTCGGTGTATGTAACACCATGCTCCATTCTTTCTACTGAATGATCCCACCCTTCAATTGATATATCGTAGTTTTCAATATGCCAGAGCAGAAGCTCAGTCCATGTCATGTTGTATTTCCCAGCATCTTCAGTGACACCAAAGGACTTGCGCCAAGTGAAATTGGCCCTTTCAGCGACCAGATCGAGCAGCTCTACGGTAATGCCTGGATTGATGCTGTCAATATACTCATCATCTCCTTCATAAGACACAAAGACTGGCCTCAAGGATATACCTGAAAGGGCATCCTTCAGCTCAATCTCACCAGCACGGTATTTTTCATATCGGTCACAGACGTCCTGTCGATGACTCTTATGGTTGGTTGAAGAGGGGTTTGTCTGATACTTGGCCAGCTCTCCACCAAGACCACTAGCAGCAGCGAGGATTGCTGAAAGGAACCAAACTTGAAGGATGTGCTTTACTGCCATTGTTTATTACTAAAATGGTGCCGTGGCACAAATGCATTGATGATGTGCAGAGATCGATCAATGAGGGAGACAGTGGGCAATGGGCAACAAGAAGAAGAGAAGACTTAGTGTCTTAGTGTGCTCCATTTGCACGTGGCAATGACCTGAATGACCAGCCAGCGGGAAATCAGAGGCTCGAGGCTCGAGGTACATAACTCCTATAGCCAGCCAGACTATCCTCTAATAGTTTGGTACTCCCTCCGACCCAAAATCGTTCACAATTTTGAAGGCGTTAAAACGGCTAAAGTAGCGTACAGTACATAAGGAAATCTAGCTAGAGAAACTAGTGGTTAGTGGTACGTGTACACCTCTTGCTGCCACTCTCTCCACTTTGCCGTCGGTAGACTAGCTAGCTAGCTAGTAGCAGGCATACCAAGGGGGCGGAGCGGTAGCGCGCGAAGCACGCACGGCGACTTCGGTAACAGAGACGACCCATGAGGGATATGAATCTATTTTTGGAGGCTTTGCTGGCTTTTAATCTGAGAAAGATCCAACAAGATCCTCGAGCCCAACCACCCCACAACCTTGAAGCAATGGCTCCACAATCGCACAGCCAACATCACACCCAACCACCACCGCAGCCACTGGTTTGCCTAGCTTCGCCCCCCTCGCTCCTTAACGTATCTATTTAGTATTTCTACCGATATCATCAGATCATCAGTAAGCTAGCTAGCTACCTGAAACCAATCAAGTTAAGATGGACGAGTCTACGTCACTAGTAAGTGAAAGTTGGCTTGAATCCGGCATGAAGAGTAGTTTAGCCCAACGGGCAGCCAAAGGCAGTTTGAGGGTATACCAGGAGTATTGGCCTTTAGATGGCTTAAGTGTGGATACTAGTAGAAGTAGTAGAAGTAGCAGAGGTAGCAATGCTGAGGAAGTGATGGACTTTTCCAGCAATGATTATTTGGGATTGGCCAGAGACTCTGCACAGCAAGCGCTAGTAGAATCTCGCTATCAGAGTCTCCTTGGTACAAATGCTACGCTGGGATCCACGGGATCAAGATTGCTTTCTGGGGATTCTCACTATGCCCGTCAGTTGGAACACAGACTGGCTAAGTGGCACAATCGACCCTCTGCTTTGCTCTTCAATTCGGGCTATGATGCAAACTTGGCAGTCTTGTCTTGTCTCCCTCAAATTGACAAATTCCTGTTTGATGAGTTTGCACACAACAGTCTCCACATGGGAATGAGACTGTCACGCTCCAGGAGAAGCAGAAATCATGATACTGCAAGTACAAGTACTAGCACAATATTGAAAGAACACAAGGAAAGATTCAGTCACAACAACGTACAAGATTTGAGGCAAAAACTACAAAAAACGTCCAACAAACTCAATAATGTCCTCATTGTGGTAGAGAGTGTCTACAGCATGGATGGCGATGTGGCACCCCTCCGAGAAATGCTAGATCTAGCACATGAATTCGAAGCTCTTGTACTGGTTGATGAAGCTCATGGCATTGGCGTTTTTGGAGATGATCAAGGCAGCAAGAGCTCACGAGGAACCGGTGTTCTCGCACAGCTTCATCTCGAAAATCATCCCGCTCTGGCATGTTCCGTTCATACCTTTGGAAAAGCGGCAGGTTGCCACGGAGCCGTGGTGTGTGGATCCAACACACTGCGACAATATCTTTGGAATTATGCCTGGCCTTTGGTATATTCCACATCTTTGCCACTGCATTCCTTGGTCGCTATCGAATGCTCGTACGAAACCATGACGAGTGTTAGAGGCAAGGCTTTACGGGAGTACACTCAAAATCTAGTGGCTTTCTTTCGAACACTGGTCCAAGAATACATCATTGATCGACAGATCCAACGGCTATTATATTTGCTACCATCCCTGTCACCCATTCAGGCACTCGTGCTACCACAGAATGGAAATCAAGCCTGTACTCAGTTTTGTGAGCACGTATGGCAGAAATCAAACCAAACAATTCGCTTGTACCCCATCAAATCACCCACGGTCCCAGTAGGAAAGGAACGGATACGGATCATTCTCCATGGACACAACCGCAAAGCTCAGGTTCAAAGGCTCGTGGAATGCATGGCTCAAAGTCTGGTCGAAATGAACCTTTTGCCACCCACTTCCAAATTGTAAACTTGAGAAAAAACAGCAAGTTTGATAGTCTACCACAGCTGGGAAATTTGAGAACGACAAGGAGGGAACGTTACGAGAACATCAATCCCATCGTACGTGACGCTCCTGGACAAAACAGTCAAAGCCACGAGAGTGCTTTTCAAGTTTAGGAAGGCGTGCGTGTTGATGACCAGCGCTATTGAAGGGATGGAAAGGGCCTGCAGTTGAGCTTCCAACTAAAGAAAAACTCTACCAACGTTGCTTCCTTTGCGCCAAGTTCTACCTGGAAGAAGATACATGTAGTTCACTTTGCACAAACTAGATTGATTGTCACTTTTATCAAAGTGGTCTGCTCTACTACGTAGCTAGAGGCAAAAACCAAATCTTTGTCGTCTGTGTTCTCATTCCTCCACGTTTTCACCGTTGACGGCATGCCCAGATTGGCCTTCGACAACCACCAATGCATCGACGATCGCCTCCAGATCTTCCCAGTCTTCATCGGTTTCCTCGGTGTAAGGGTCAAGGGCAGCGTTATCCCTTTCGTTTTCGGGTCGACCATCACGGCCGTGGAGAGCTGCACGCACAATGTGACGAAAACATCGGGCGAAGTCGTGCGATTCGAACCTCATCATATCCAACAGATACACGGGCCGCACGTTGACCTGTTCGAAGTAATCAAGAATCGACTTCTTGACCTCCTCTTCGGTCTTGCGCCGGCACATAGGTTTCTTGTTCTCGCTGGACAGATCAACGTCGAATTTGGCACGCACCACAGCGACGGGAATACGATTTGCCACGCATTCATCGAAAACATCCTGCTCCGCCTCCGTCAACCGACCAGCAGTGACCAACACGACAAAATCATAGTGAGACAGGCCGTAGTCTATGATATAAGTCTGTGCTGGAATGGAACGGGTGCCAGCACCAGGGTGGTCCACAAGATTCAGACAAAAGGGATCTCCTCCCACCAGAGAGACACCTCTTTGAAGCAACCAAGCCTGGGAACGTCGTTGTGCACGATTCCACCAACTTTCGGTGCCATCATTTGGCCCACCAAAGGCCAGCCGTAGGAGATTCAACATCTGGGGGCAATTGATAGTGTAGAGTCGCGGCTCCATCGTCGTTTCGGTGTTCCCTGTGGGAGCCTGCTCCTGTGCATCCTCATGATAGGGGTCAAGTAGAGTGTTGATTCCAGTGCTCTTGCCACATCCAGAGTTGCCACATATTGCAACGTTGAAGGACCATGGCTTTGGTTCACCAATGATTTCCGGTCGAGCACTCCTCGTGAGCCAAAACCGATCAGGCACCAATTCGCGTTCCGCTTGTTGGTTTTCGTGGCGGGCCGCCTGTTGGTTTTCGCGGTTGCCCGGCATCTTGGAGTTTCCTTTTGAAAAAAAAAACTGAACGTCTAATAACGGATTCAGACGAGATGTGCTTGAGGACTACCCACGAGCTAGGGCTCGGGTATTTCCCACAGTCAAGTCTGCTCACCGGCCACACTGGCCTCCTGAGAGGGTGCGACGCCTGTTAGCTATCTAAGGATTTGTACACTGAGGTCAGAGCCATGATTCACCACAAATCACGAGCTCTTTGTTGAAGAGAGTTGGGGTTGGTAAAGAAGTTTGAGGGGGTAGGAGGGGTAAGGAAAAAGGGATGGTAGGAATGTCCGACTATCCTGTTTCCAGGGCTGTGGTGTAGTGACTCTCTTGTAACACAGGTTCCCATGTGTTCAAAAATTGAATGATGACTGGTGTATTCAGTTGCATGCGCGATTCGAGTGGTATCTGGAATAGCCATTCCAAATGTTCAGGGACTTCTTGCTGGTATGCTTCGTAGAACTGAGTGAGTTGTCGGATTGCTTGTGCTTTGGAGTTTCCTTTTGAAAGTGTGATTGTTCTGATACATACCATGCATCATACGCAACCAGCAGCAAAACGCCGAAACTCGATCTTCTACTAGCTAGAGCACGTACCTAGTTTGAAACTTTCAGAGGAAGAACACTTCTCAAAATCTTTGCCGACTATGCATACAGTCAACTATCATACAAGTTTCGAGGCCTCAATCCCCCCAACCGCGGGAAAGCTCGAGCGAGGACACATTAGCCGGATGTGAGGCACCCTCTGCTTATAGCTACGGTACCGGTAGCCAGAAGAGTGCTGGATTCCAAGCAGGATTTTCTGCTGGAATGAAGTTCAAGATTGACGTGAGATAAGTGTATTGCAAGTGGAGTTAGAACCCAGTGCCAGCTTTCAGAAGCTCAAGGTATTATACTGCGCAGCCCGAGTACGTGATGCTTTTGTCTTCAGTGTGGCATAAAGGTAGGGTAAGTCAGGTGCCAACGACAAAATGTCAATGAGCTCCATACATGCACCGATCCACAAAGATCCAATGCAGTTGAGCTCCCAAAATGTTGCACAGATCTTCCAAGAGGCTAGCCAGTCTAGTAGATAGGCACCGGGATAGGTCTTCTCGTCAACTGCTATCATTACAACAGCCTTTGTTTGATTAAAAGCATGTTGTAACCCTTTCCTATGCAGCTATAGGAACTGACATGATGCAGAGGAGTCAGTTGTCATTCGTTTGGATGAGTTACGAGTCGAGTCGGGTTTTTATTAAGATTGGATGGATGTGAATTTATTTGCCTATAGATCTACTTCAGCTAAGCCAAGCCATGAAAACCGTATTGTAAGTCTATAACTGGAGTTGCTCTAGTTAGTTCCGAGCTGCTGTATTCTTCGGTATGGTAGTCTTGGTTGTGCCAGTTCAGTATCTCGTACTCGCTCACCAGCACGAGTACGGTACAGGACTACTTGCTGCTCTTGCCCTCATCGTCATCCATAGGTGGAACCCAATTCTCAAAGGTTTCTTCAAAACATGCTGCCGCCTTGTCCCCCAAATCATCAAAGAAACCCTTGGCACTGCCCCAATCATAGCCTGGAATGAAACGGGCCGTCGTGCTTGGAGTCTTGCTCATGTCCTTGGCGCTATGATCTCCCCAAGGATTCGAAGATTCCTCCGAAAATTAATCCAACTTGGAATTCTGAAACTGATACCGATTCAACAACTCTTCCAAGTCAGAAAAGTTCGAACCCTCAACCCGGGCAACTCTGTTGCCTAAGATAGTATATAACCGTTTTCGTGGTTATTGGTCACATTGCGACAGGGATCAGCCTCTGTATACAATCAGGCAATCAACCAAACGCACCTCAGACAGTCTACATTGCATTTGCTTGGCTTACCTTGATAGAAAATGTCAAAAGTGGGCCAACTTTGTACGCTGGCTTTGCCAATCAGCATTTTCGTATTCGGCAAAGCATCGTAGAAAAATGGTGGCTGGATTGTCCCGGGCCAAACGCTCGTATTCTGCCTCGGTCGTCACACAAGAGTCCATCTGAGATGACGTGAACTTGGCCACACACACACAATGCCATCCGGTCGTTCTGACAACGGCATGGCGGCCAATTTGACTATTTCTTCTAGTTGTTCATACTCTCTGTTCCACAGCGAAACAGCAGTTACATTACATTGTGAAGTCAAGCAGAGTGTGAGGGTTTGTGTTGGATGGATCCGGTCACTCATCTTGACTTGTTGCGAAGGTACCTGTATGTTGTCCTCTTTTCAAAGCCATCTGAATCGATCCCTTGATCGCTCACTTAAAAACGTGGTAATATGGCATTGGTCGTCGAGTAGCTACGGTAGCTCTGTTGGGACCAGACAACAGAAATGGTATCAATGGGTCGGCCACGGAGGTTGAAACATAGATATGGAGCGTTGGCGCAGCCAGCGAGACTTGCTACGTACAATTCACGCGGGTTTGCCTCGAGAAAAATCTGATGGTGTCCGAATGAACTTGAGTGTGGAGACCATCAGGAGAGGCGCACAACTTTCAATCAAGTGCGCTGCCAACTTGGTGAAGGTTCATAGGTATACAGTTTGGTACTGTACGCAAACGACGCAAACATGTCTTTTCTAACCACCGATACAACATGGACAGGAAACATTCTGTTGAGCGAGACAGTTACGCTTAACCCTGGTGTTACCCTCTCTATCTTGGGAGCCAGAGTTGACTTTGAAAACGACAATGCCGGTATCTTCGTGGACACGGACTCGACCGTCGTTCTCCAGGATTCCGAGTTCCACGGGCCAGGGTTTGGCATCTTCTTTCTGAACAATGATCCTGCATTCGTCCTTGCCGACAACTTTACTTGCTCCAACATGAATACCTGCATCGGGATTCCACAAGGTGGTGGGAGCATGAACACTGTGGAGGTTCAAAACTCTGTCTTTGTGGACAATACATATGGGCTAGTTGATTATTCCAGTACAGGAGCTTCTATCATAGTTGACAACTCCCTGTTCCTTCGGAATACTATCGGAGCGTCAACAAGGTCACTGTCGAGCGACCCAATTGAACTCAAGAACTGTGTCTTCGCCTTCAACAGCGCCATGGTAGTCCAAACTCACAGCGCAACCATCAGTGACACGATTTTCATGTACAACAGTCATTACGCCTTGTTCGCCTCGAATGCTGATAGAACTCTGACAGTGACAAATACGGTATTCTACTTTATGGTCAAGGCGCTTTGATATCGGGGAATTCATTGAACTCACTCCGAAACTTCACCGATGTCAGCTGGATCCGAAACAATGTTGCGGTGGCAACTTCCCATGGTCCTGGTGCCGCTAGCAATACCTACATGACTCGGACAAATTTCATCGAAAATACTAGGTTTCACATTGAGCTAGGCTCCGGCGACGACTGGGAATTGCCGAACTTGTACTGGGGAACAAGCGACCTGAACGAGATCGGTCAGCATATTGAAGACTTTTTTGACTTTACTGACCGCGGGCGTCTCCTATTCGCACCGATTGCAGAAACTCCATTTTTGCACGGACTCTACAACGGGGAAGACCCATGGTGTCCTCCGTCATCCTTCTTGGGGTATGATCTAAGTCACCCTTCCAATGACTGCAACGGTAATTCTGAAGCGCCTGTGGCAGTCCCCTCAATGCAACCAAGTCAGAATCCCACTGGAGCTCCTGTCGCAGCCCCCTCAATGCAACCAAGTCAGCATCCTGCTGGAATGCCAGTCGCAGCCTCCTCAATGCAACCAAGTCAGGATCCTATCGGAGCTCCCAACATGCGACCTAGTCAGAGTCCCGCTTCGCCCACCTGCTCCTCAGTTCTCAACAGCATTGTCCAAGGGGTCGAGAGGTTGTTTGACTTTGGAGGTTGAAGCACATATATTCGTTGCACAAAAGTCCCTGTAGCACGTTCCGTTCTTGAATAAATTAAGGTAATGCACGAGCAGGAAGTCAATCGGCCCGAGACTTCGTTATGAGCAAGTACTAAAAGAAATATGGTGTGATGATACCGAGAATCGAGGGTCCCAGTTCAATGTGTGTTCTATCATGCCAGTATCAATATATGTGTAATCAAACCTGTTTTACTGACTGTTTACGGCTAGAAAGCTTGAGAGTCCTGTGCACGCGTATACGGTACAGAGATGTAGACTGTAGACCTCAGATATTAGCCAATGGCCTTCGATGCATGGATGCATTTGACGGCGTACTCGTGCCTCTAAGTGATAATACATGAAGAAAGCCCACGGATCCAGTTTCCCATTCCATTGAAACAGAATGTGTTGAAATTTGTGTGCAAGTGTAAAAAGTGCAGGAATGTTCACAAAATAAATAAATGGAGAAGTAGAAGCGAATGTTTTGCTTCGAGATTGCCATGGCCATCCACCTGGCATACATCATACCCATACCACCAGGCAAGTCCGTGCCTCGCAGCCAATGGTTACACCACGGCTCTTCAATCAAACAACTGACGACTTGAGGATCGGCTTTGGATTGATGATTGGCAAAATGTACGTTGTCACCGTTGGCTTGACCATTTGCTATGGTGCGGTGAGAATGGATTCCAGCGGACGAGGGCAACGTGCAAGGGGGGAGCAGGACAGTCAGGATTGCATACAACTGGACAAGTCAATAGCAGGAAGAAAGGGGGAAGGAACGAGGGTATAAATTGGATCGTAGGGCGGAGACTAGCTATGTGTAGAGATCAAGAGCACCTGGATGCAAGTGCCCTGGCAAGACGCAGATAAACACTCGTTTCATTCCATTTGGTGTAAAAATGACATCATAATGACATACGATATCAATGACGTAATGCAGCAATTGAACATGTCACGATCTTTTGCCTCAAGAAAAACATCATGCGTTTTCGTTCCAAGCATCTGTCAAGATGGGCCATTGGATGCCCTGGCCATCATCATCAAACCCATCAGCAACCGTAGCTCTGTAGCTAGCTAGAGTGCAGTTTGTCTCAGCTCCACCTTTAGTTGTTTGGGAAAGCGCCTTTGAACTGCTGTTTCAAAGCTAGCTAGCTGGTAGTGGTACCTACCAATGACAAGTTCCAGGAGATATCATCATGTGGGGATCATAATATCGATGGCGGTCCTGACCGTGACATCACTCACTGTAAGGGCTTTTCCCATATCCTCGCACTCATCTACATCATGTACCTGGAGACGACAGAACCGACGATTTGGCCGCCAAAGCAGGAAGATACTACATCTTCTAAATGTAGTAGAGGAATCTGAAGACCACAGAAAGAGAAGCAAAGACAACCAGGGGTATCCTACCGCAAGTAGATCTACCACAAGCTTGCAGCTGAATTCCAGCACGGATGATTATTTGGCCAATCTAGATGCCGGCGACATGCCATTGTTGTCTCCACGGGGGATCTATCAGATCAAAAGTGAATGGCAGTACAGGTAGGTACCGTATTGTTGGAAGGGGTATGTATACCATCTATCCATGGTCAGTCAGTCAGCTACTAATCATACTGTGTATGCTCTTTTGTTTTTTTCAGAAACTTTTTGGACGCCAATCCGGACAAACTGGTGGTCATCAAGTACTTTGCGTCGTACTGTCGTGCCTGTAAGGCTCTGGAACCCAAATTCGTGGCCGTCAAGGACGATCGTCAGCTGGTCGATCTACCCATTGTCTGGGCCGAATATCAATCCCAACGAAAGAACAAGGATCTCTTTCAACAACTCAACGTATTGGCATTGCCCACGGTACAGTTCTACGATGGCGACCGAGGCGTGGTCGAAAATTTTCCCTGTGGACCCGCCAAAATTCCACTCCTCAAACAAAAGTTGGCACAATTCCTCAATGCCCGCGTCGATCCCGACACCAGACAACTCAAACCAACTTCAGAGGACGAACGACAATCCATGTTACCTCGCGTCGATCGAGAAGTTTCCGTCAGTGATGAACTCATCACCAAAGAACATATCGACTATTTGCGTCATGGCATGCCCTTTTTTGAAGACTTGTCGCAACCAGAATTTGACGAACTACTGGGCAAGGCACGATTGCTGACGTTTGAAGCGGGCGACTTGATTATTCGACAAGGCATGCCACCCACCACATTTTATGTCCTCAAGAGTGGTAAAGTCGAAATGTGTATTCGAGGCAAATTTGACGATCCCATATCGACACCTCCCAATTACCTCGGTGTCGCTGTCAATGAACTCAAAACATTTGATTTCTTTGGAGAACGGGCACTCACCACGGGAGAACCCTATGCCTGTAGCATTCGGGTCTTGCAAAAGACCCGCGCATTTGCCTTTGCCGTGGAGGATATCCCCGAAAGTTCCATTCTCAGCAAACAACGACGGGCCAATGGAGAATTGGTCGAAAAGCTGACCGAACGATATCTACTCCCGGAAGACTACACACCAACCTACCAAGTCGTCACGCCACGGGATGAATGTGTCTTGGAGTTGCTCGTCCGATTCAAACAAATTCGACAAGCTGCCAAATGTTTCCAGTACATTATGAAATCACAGCCCAACTGGGGTGATCAAGGAGAAATTGCAAGGCGATCCATGTTGGTCAACAAATTGTCCAAAGCACAAGCGGACGAGTTCCAAGATGTCTTTAACATTGTCGACAAGGATAAAAAGGGAAAGATTAGTCTGCTGGAGATGCGAAAATTCATGGAATCGGCTCGTGAAAACAAATCCACCGATGAACTCATGGAAATGCTGGCCCGAGCCAACCCCAAGTTTGATGAAAACAAGGATTACGCCATTAGCCGCGACGAATTCATGGGTGTCATGGCCGAAGCGGAATTCTACAATCTATTTACCGAAACATTTACCGAGTTGGATCTGGACCAGACGGGGTACGTGCGAGCGGGGGATCTAGACGATGTCTTGGGTGGCGTACGAGACTTGATCTCCAATGACAAGACCAACATTATCGATGTGGAAGACAAGGACATGCTGATAGACTACGAACAGTTCTCCAAGATGCTACTGGGAGCTGCCTTGTAGTAGTAGTGATTCCATGAATGCATGCATGCATGCATGCATGCAACTAACAGCACCTGGCGGTTTCCCAGAGACAAACCATATACCCGTTGGGCCACAAATCTCGGCCCTGAATTAGGATTGCATGAAACTCGTTCTATAGATTGCTACCAGCTTCTTGCTTTCATCTGGGCTATTGATCAAGCCTACCGGTATGCTGTATAGATGCCTTGGACCTTGGATCGTCTCACCGCTTGCTGTCCAGTGCCATCGCTTCTTCTAGCTAGCTTGCTCCGTGGTTTCTCCCGAGAGACCAAGCATGCCGTTGCTTTTAGGATTATTGGGATTCGGCTGTCGATGCATGCTGTGAACTCGGACATCCAGGATCCAGGATGTGCCAAACATTTCCAAAGGTCCCGCAAAGCCAGACCCATTGGCCCCTGTACTGGTCCCACGGAACCTAGTCCTGAATTTCGACTCTGGCCCTGGTTGGCTTCAATAGATAATCCACCTACTCTAAAACCCCCTTGTATTTGCAGAGGTACTAGTACGGTACCAGGTACGGTACCGTCCACGGAACTCCAACTGGACTCTGGCGTGAACTTGAATACATGTATGTAGGGATTGCAGCCCTGGTACCGGTACGGTATGGTAGGCTGGTATTGTAACGCGGGTGAGGCGGACAGTCGAGTCGAGTCACGAGATAAGTCAGTCAAAGTGTTGGCAAACCATGGAAGCAGTTTGCATTCGTGGTGGGTCTGATCTCTTGGTCACCTTTGGATAAGCAGAAAATGCCAGGCACCTTGCAGTCGTGAGTGGTCTGAGAGTCTTCGCAAATGGTTTTTCAACGGTGTACCGGTAAGCCGTACATGTACTTCTTCTCTGAACCCGAGAACGTCCTAGTAAACATTCTTATTGCCTCTTCATGCAGCTACCGGTATCACTAAAGTCATAAACGCCAGGACCATCCACGGGTCATATTGCCAAGGGAACAATTAATTATTGGTGCAGTGCGGGACCTTGAGAGGTCGTTGAGCCTGGAGGCATCGAATTCGGAGTGTCTAGTCTACTGTACTGAGTACTGAGTATCACGTACGGTACTAATGTCGTTTGGTCTCAATCGCAATCTCGCAATAGCGGATTTAATAGCTCCTGTGTACTGTACAGAGTACAGTACTCCAATCACACTCCCATTCCGGCATATTATGCATACATGTATCGGGTCGCAGCCATCTCGACATATTATTTGTGTTAGCTTTTGTGTTCTACAGGCCAGGAAACTTGGCAGCTACGCTGCGAGGTGTCAAAATTTTCCAGGAATTGAAAAGAGTCCCCCAACTCCGTGATCAGTTCTTTCGGTCTTTTCAGTCATGCACCTTACAAATTGAGTCATGAATTAAGACTGGTGCCTGCAGCCTTTTACATACCGGTACTGTACTGCTACTGTATCGGTACAGCGGTACGTCACGGTATCGGTACGGTTGTGGTACTGTATTCTTTATCTCCCCTCTGAGAAGTGAGAAGGAAACAAGTAAGTACCGGTACCACCGGGAGGCAGGGAATTCCTCATAGGATGACCATCTTTTGTTTTGAGTACAATTCATGGAGAGCCCCTGAAACGCACGCGGTTGTATTATACGTATAACATTTTTACTATGTATTCTACAGATCATACGTATTACACATATAACATTTTTAATATGTATTAGACAAGTCATACGTACAACACAGAATAACACAAGTGGAACAATATTATAACGTATTACATGTATTATGTTTGTACGTTTTTAGTATAATACATAGGACGAATTTTTGCCAAGTTTTTTTGCCAGGTGTTTTGCCAGGTGTTTGGGAGGCAGAGAGGAAGATGCACTGTTGCAGCCATAATACCTGACAGTTATCAAGTAAAATGGACTTTACCTATCTGAACTCTCTCATGTTGCTAGATACAATATCAATGATGAAGAATGGACTCCTGCTTCCATCATTGTGAAGTAGCAACCTCACTAGCTGATGATACGCCAAAGGAGATAAACATTATGGATACTCTGGGGTTCGATAATTATCGAATGGAGAAATCGACGGTGTATTGGCTACCTTCGATGTATCAATCTTGTGATCCGGCGCATATTAAAGAAGTTTTGATGCCATACTTTGTACTCCTTGCAAGACTGCTGGATTCCGCATCAAAAACAAGGGATTTGATAAGAGGCGGAATCACATTACCATATGTTGTCCAAGGAGTCGTCTTTACAAACAAAGGTCCCAAAAGGACAGCAACAAAACCACCCAGACTCAGCTTCCTGTTGAGGGGGAGGGTGTCAAATGTCCATTCTCTTTCAATGTTCTATATAGCCAGGAACACACCAAATCATCCAAATTCAAATCCATCATTGCACAATTGACAGAGACTGACGATGTGATTGAGTGGGAGATGATCGTGTCTTGGCTATGGAAATTTGCCCGATATCAGACAAGAGAAGAAGCGGATTTGTATAACACAGGTAATACATATAACACAGGTAATACGTGTTATACGTATAACACAGTTAATACGTACAACACAGTTAATATGTATAACACGGGTAACACGGGTAACACATATAACACGTATATCATGCATAACACGTGTTGCGCGCTTGGTACTTACATGGGTTCAGTACTGGTCCCTACAGGAAGTGTTGACGATGGGAAAATCAAGGCCAGATCTTCCACAAGGCTTGTCAGTGAGCCTTCAGAGTATATGAATGCAAAGAGAATGGTCCTGTGAGCTTGACAAGCCTGATAAAGAGAGTGGGGGCAGGAGAATGAAGAAGGAGTTGAATGGAGAGAATCCTTCTATCTTTCCACAGAAACAGTCTTCTTGGCTTCAACAAAGCCATACCACATTGCCTACTTACCCACAATGATGGTACTATCTTCAAATAACAACAGAAACCTCTGTATCCTTCAAAGCAACAAGAGAGAGAGGTTTATCTCATGGTGTGTGTTGTGGAGATTGTGGAGATTGGTGTTGAAGCCATTTTGCGAAACGAACAAAATCACTCGAACGGTCACGGTGGCTGGCTGGCGACCGTGTAATACGTGTTATACGTATTATACGGGAATACGTAGAATACGCATTGTACGTATTACATGTATTACATCGCGTGCGTTTGAGGGGCTCTCGACCTTGAGTCAATTGCCATTCGAAACACTCCCAAGAGAAAATCTCAAAACTGTGGCGGGATGCTGTTATAACCATTCAGCGCAGCAGTCATCTAGCGGTGTGCTATTAATAGCGTACGCTGTAGCGGCTACGACCATCGGTACCGTATGAACACCAGTACTGCAATCAATCCCAATGGGGTCATAAAGATTTGCATCCACAGGTGAACAACAGCAGCAAGGGCTTTGCGACGTCAGTTCTCACAAAACGAATTTGGCTCGACCCAAATCGCAATCGCATCAAGAGTTTCAAAGAACAACAACAACAACAACAAAAGTTTCGATTCATTGGTTGCCTCAGGACAGTTAGCTTTATTTGCTGATACTTGTGTCACCTGCCTGTCACCTTTGCTGACGATGAAGATCGCCAACAGTCTACGCATCCTTGTCGGACTTGTGGGTGTCGCCACAGCTTGGGCTGCCAGCGACGCTAAAACCGCCTCCAACCATCCCTCCTCCAAGGTAAGCTACAACTGTAGTCGTCGTGGCCGCGAGTTGATGTACACAACATTGGGTGGAATCTTTGTGGTCTATCGGTACAACGAGCGAGGATACCGGTACGGTGGTGATATGGTACGGTACGGTACCGCAGCAGAGGTGAAGCTGGATCTTGGAGGTTGGATCGCGGTCCCGGATTGATGATCGGCAATCAGACTCCGTCTGTCGGTCGTTACGGAGATCAGCATCGATTCGGTTCGTCACTCTGCCTCCATGGCGATCATGGCTTTCTGTCAGTCAGCTTTCGCTAGACTACTCGGTCGCTGTGCCCTGCCATTGCAGACACTACCATCCAGGCCGCCTTCGGGCAATTGATCAGCTCTAGGATACCTTGTCATGCTGATTGGCAGCCCGCATCAGAAACACACAATGATGGACTAGTAGTTGATTTCAGCTGAATCTGAATCTGACTCTCTATCTTCTTTCTACCTATTTAGGTCAACCTGACCGATCTGCCTTCCTGGGACTTGAAGAGAGGAGAACCAGTCCTTGGGCAAGATGAGCAAGGAAACAAAGACGACGAACTTCCAACCATTGCCGAGCTGGTCCAAAACCAGAAGGCATCCATCCAAGTGGACCGCCAGGTGAATTTGGTAAGCCCACCATCGCTAGACTATGCTAATGACCCCTTGCCAAGCCGCAACCTCAATGCCAAATTACTCCTACCTCTTGTGCAGAGGCATCGTCTCCTGAGCACTGCAGGGCAAATCCGACCCGTCTTTGGGAATAGTGGCAAATGTAGGTTCCGTCGTTTAGTTTCGTTCTTTCCTCGGATGAGCTCCTCTCTTTGTTGTTTCTCCTCTGGGAGTGCACTATTGTATTTTGTTGCAAGGACTCTGCTGATGTTGCCTGTCCTTCCCTCTCTTCTATTCCTGTAGGGTAAGGCATAACCCTTCACACACCAAGTCGTATCAACAGTCAGATGCACAATCTTACACACGCCACTCTTCTCTTCTCCTCTTCTTGACTGGTCTTTAATTTGAATTGCAGTGTTGATAGGAGGGTTGACAACAATAACTTGTATCTCCATAAGTGCCATACACTAAGCAATCAAAAGTTCACCTATGATGCCAACACAAAGCAAATCAAGGTCGATGGGCTTTGTTTGGATGACACTGGTCTTGCAGGTATGTGAGCTACCCAGCCGTGGCTTGTGTTTGAGAGGAAGGGGGCATACTCAAATGCGTAGCCATGAAGCCAGAAATATTCCATGCTAACGCTCTCTTGCACAAACCCACTTCAATGCAATGCTTCTTTAGGCCGCAATGTATGGGTCCACGCTTGTCACGATGGAAACAACCAAAAGTGGAGGACAGATAACAAGGGCAGGATCCAAGGCCTCCATGATTATTCCTGTCTTGATGTTGCATCTGATGGAAATCTCTACATGAGAGGCTGTTGTGATAACTGTGAGGGACAACGCTGGTATGTCCCTCAGCATTTTCCAACTTCAAGGAGCGAGATCCATCCAGTCCTTAACTCAGCCGCGTGTGAGTTATGCATGTAGTTTTTATTGTGTGCATTTGAGTTACATGACCGATCTGCTTCTAACGCCTCATATGCTTCCTCCTTGGGTCACACAGGCTGGGATATTGGTACGTCAGAGTTTGCGGAGGTGCATGACACCTACAGGACCTCGAATCATTCCCCTCACAGTGTGGATGAACATACTCTTGACCTTTCTTGGTCGTTATAAATAGGTGGCATGGAAAAGAATTTGTATGTCAACGGGAATTGCCACACTGGAGAAAACCAGCAGTTTTACTATTCCCCATATTCCCAGAGCATCTTTCTGCCCTTGACGGAAGGGTAAGTATGAGGCAGAAAGCCTTCCACCGAAGATGCCCAACCTGGTTCCTCTGAGTAGTAGCTGACATGTTCTTTATTTCCGTCCCTCTTCCTGATCTCAAAAGATCGGGATGCTTGGATGAAAACTATATCACTGGTAATGTTTATGCTAATGGATGCCTCCATGGTAACAACCAAAAATGGTAAGCGGGTTTGGGGGGTTCTTGGGCGATACATCAGCAACAACACAAACCCTCTCATCCTTTATCCTGTGCTCATTCTCTCCTGTTCTTTCTCACAGGTGGATGGATTCGTATGGCAGGATCCGCAATCGCCACGACACCATGAGTCGTTGCATGGAACAGAATAGTTCGGGGAACAATTTGAGAATGGTGGGGTGCAATGACAATGACAATCAGAGATTCATTGTTCCGCATGAAACATTTCCCGTTGCTGCTAGTCAGGTAAGCTGTGCTGGATATTACGTTAAGCTGCATGGCTGTAGCCTCATCACTGGTTAACCTTGTACATGACATCATTACAACCAAATGCTATACAGGTTAAGCCTTTCTACGATCTTGGTAAATGTAAGTTGCAACAGCCAAAAGCTCCCAGACAAGATCTATGACTTACTCACTAACACCTATTGCTGTTTAAACAACAGGTTGGGATAGTGGACCAGACAAGAATCTGTACCTGGCATCAAGCTGTATCAGTGGTAATTTCCACCAGCAGTTCTACTTCATGGCTCAATCTGAGCGCATATACGATGCCTATGGTACGTCAAAGAACAAAAAGAAGCCACATATCCATATCTCTGCTGTTGTGCTTTTCTCAGTCCTTGACATTCTCATGTACTTCTCCTAGGAAATGGCTGTCTTGACGACCAAGTCAGTGGTCACAGAAATGTCTTTTCACACCCATGTCATAGGTAGGTTCACAGCTGCTGTTGCTCTGCCTATCCGCCTGAATAAGATTATGTGTGTGCTAAACAATGATCCACGTTGCCTTACATATATGTTGCAGTGGAAACAACCAAAAGTGGTATGCTGACAGTCTTGGCAGACTTCGTGGTAGATCGGATAACAAGTGCCTGACTATCGACAGCAGCAACCTAGTCATGAAAGATTGCAATGACTCGATTTACCAACGATTTGTGGTCCCAGCATCCTTCCCAAGGGTCACAAGCCCAGTTAAGAGCGCGTTCAATACTGGTCTCTGTAAGGGTTCCTTTCATGTTGTCTTGTTTCCAGAGATGCAACGATCATTACTAATCCCTGCCTTGTACCATGTTACGATTCTGTCTCAGGCCTGGCTGTGATGTCGGACAGGAAAGTTATGGCGCGCTCATGTCGGGGAGACAAGGATGAGGATTTCTTTTATGTTCCAGACTCTGAGCGGATCTTTGTAGCGTCAGGTCAAGGGTATGAACGGAACCAGTGTGACTTGATCATGCTTGCTGATGTTGAACTATCCTCTCAACGGACTGCCTCATTGCCTGGTCTACCCTTAGGTGTCTTGATCCCACTGCCAACAACAATGTAATTGTACATCCATGCCATGGCCAAAACAACCAAAAATGGTACATGGATGAGCATGGCAGGATTCGTGACAAACATTACCATCACTGCCTTACTCGGGCCTCAAATAACAACTTGGAGCACAGGGGCTGTGACGATAGCGACAGTCAGAGGCTTGTCCTTCCAGAGAGTTTTCCTGTCAGCACAAGCGTTGTCAAGCCATTCAATAATGACAATCTATGCTGGGGACTCGCTAATGACAATATTATGATCGTTCCTTGTTCGTCGACCCAAAACTTCTTTTTTGCCCCTGAATCTGGCCGCATCATTCATCTTCCCTCAGGTGATATCAATGCTCGTATGCCTCTCTCCCAATATGTGCTGGTCTGTTCTTTCCTAACATTCTGTTCGCTCGAACGATTGCAGGAAAATGTGTGGATGACGCAGGCTCTGGTAAGTTTACCTCACCTTTTCTTGAATACATCAATTATTCAATTCTTGCCTTCAAACCCGTTTATTGACAATCTGTTGTGCTTGGCTGACCAGGAGGCCGTAATATTTACTTGGGTTCATGTCACGATGCCAATAATCAAAAGTTCTTTGTTGACCATAAGGGAAGGATTCACTCCCGGCGGGATGGAAAATGCATCGACATTAACACTGACAACAACTTGTTTGTGAGAGATTGCAATGATAATGACTCGCAACGCTTCATTTATGCAATTTCTTTCAAAACCATTTTGAGTCCAGTGACGCCATACGCAGACCAGACAAAGTGCTGGGACATTGGAGGTACTGGTAACAACCTCTACCTGTATCCCTGCCACAAGGGCAGAAATCAAGACTTCTTCTACATCCCATCAACTGAACAAATCATGGCTGGTCATGGGTAAGTTTGTGTGAACAGCCTAGATATATTTTGTATATCTTGTGGCTGCTAAAGGCACAGTCTCTTTGCCTCTTCTCTCCCATATTCAAGGACTGGGTGCTTGACTGACGAAAGCTCCGGTGGTCGAAATGTCTTTTTTGGAGCTTGTGGCACAGGCAACAACCAAAAGTGGTACATGGATGCCCAAGGTAGGCTCCACAGCAGGATTGACGAGATCAAGTGCCTTGACTTGAACAAGAGCACCAACAACCTCTACATGGAAGTGTGCAATGACAGCTTCAGCCAGAGGTTTTCCTACCCAAATTCTTTCCCCATTGTCGCCACAAATGCTCGCACTGCCTACGACAGAAGGCAAGAACTCAACCGCATCTACGGAACAGTCGAGCGGCATATCTATGGTGAAGACTCCCGATCGATCATCCGATACAACCATCCCGATCAGGTGAGGAGAAACCTATGCCCCTACTGGGAGAGTTCGTTCTCTTTCAACTACACCATGCAGAACTATGCTCTCTCCACAAGTTCAGTGATTGAAGTCAAGTCCACTAGCGACATGGACCAGCTCCTTTTGGACGAAACACGGGTGACATCGGGTGTAACGAAGGTTCTAGTTGTGAAACGTCCGAAGCTACAAACTGGGTATTTCAGGCTTGGTGACTATGCGTCAAACAGCAAAGCGGGCCCCGACTCATCTCTGTTGGTCAAGGGAGCTGATGGAACTGTTCTCAAAGAGCCAACAGACTTTGTTTTGGTTTGGAATGGTACCAGTGGCGATGTCGTTACTCCTACTTCAAGTGGGTCGTTTTGGAAGCCTGTTGCCCCAGCTGGGTTCACGTGCCTTGGCCATGTGTGGCAGCAAGGTACCACAAAGCCGGCCACCAACCTTGTGCGCTGCATTCAAGACAGGTTTGTGGAAAGTGCACCGTCAAGTTTGTTATTTGACAACGACGATGCTGCCTCCAAAGCTAGATCTGAAGTAGATCTAAGTGTCCGGGTCGCAGGTTCGACGGCTACAAGTTTCACACCCGGTACCTTTGTCAGCAAGGCATCACATTCTGCCCCTGCCACCGAGGAATTCAAGTCTCTCAAGAAAGGCTGCATATTAGGAGAGGGAGCTTTCCCATTCTGTGATGCAAATGACAGTCTCTCTCTTACTGCCGACGCTTCAAAGGACTTCAAAATTCCCTATGCTAAACTCCAGCCGTGCTACTATGAACATGAAGACCAGGTTGGATATGGTTTGGTGAACGAGGACACCTCCAAGTGGCAGAATCATGCCATTGAGTTATTCAATATTCCTGCTGGCTCTCTTGGCTACAAGCATGTAGGAGCTTCCACAAACCTTGGGGAGCCCTACTGCTTGGGATCAGTTGTGTTTGGTTCATCCAGCATCAAGCATGACCTTTTCATCCATGGAATCACCAAGGTTGGAAGTGTCACTCAGCAGGAGGCCGAAGATCAGAAGAATGGAGCATTGGGAAATCACCTGTCCAAGATGATTTCAGGAGACTTCGTGTTTTTGTTTCCATGCTCCGGAAAAAACTCAGTCAAGGAATACAAGACATCTCTGGCGGCCCTTGCCACTTCTGCAAACACCAATGGTGGCAGTGAAAACGGTGTGGTTAACGCTAATGAGAACCTGGGAGAATTGGAGCTCTTTGGAGGTTCAAAGTGGACAAGCCCTCACTATTGTGGCATTTCAGAGGAGCCAACAGCATCCGGTGGATGCAGGAAAGTCGATGTCTGCTTCTTTGAACCAGGTGGATGCAAACCATATGACCAGCTACCATGTACTAAGAACACTGACTGCAAAGGAGGGATTTGCAATTTAGCAGATAAGCTTTGTGGAGATGTAAGAAGTTTTGTTGTTGATCCCTTGTTCACTGTGCTCAACATGAACTAACATGCCGCTTATATCGCAGAATTTAAATCTCTATGCAAGCAGTGTTCAGTCAAACTCGAGGCAGACTCTTCAACGTGCTTCCTCCTACGGTATTGGGCAAGATGGGCCAGGAAGGTTCCTTGTTCAAGAAGCAGGCAACAGAATCCAGCTGTCAGGCAATGTGTGGAAAGCATTCCCAATGGCAGAGCACACTGTGTCTTACAGTTCAGTCTTGGAGTTTGATTTCCGTCTTGTGGATGAAGTTGAGGGACATGCCATTTGTCTTGATGAGGATCTCAACGAAGATGTGGAAATCCAAGGGTCCAAGCGATGCTTTCGGCTTGGTGGCACTCAGAGTGCCATTTGGAAGGAGGTTTGGAATCTTGACCATCCAGGCAGCACGGGAGAATTCAAACACTACAAGGTGAAGATTGGATCACTTACTGGTGGTGCGGGAACCAATGAGCCTTACATCTCTTGGGGCGCCAAAATCAAGTTCATTGGCATAGTGCAAGACAACGATGCAAATGAAAACATTGGGGAGAGTACATTCAAGAACCTGCAACTTTACCACGACAGTGCAGTGAGTGTTTGCCAATGAACTCGTTTGTTCCAGTTTGAAAAATCTGTGCCCCTCATGTTGTTCTTTTCCCCGCCTTTAACCCTTCAGGCCCCTGTTGAAACAGTTGACCCAGGTCCATCAATCACAGGAACTTCTATCGAAATAGATGTATCCAATCCGACGAGCCATGGTAACTGGAAAGTTGGATGCACAAGGCTTGATGGCAGTGTACCCGATCAGCCACCACAAAGTGTCTACAAGTACGATGGCAAGTCATTCAATGCTGGAACTTCAACAACAAATTTCAAGTACAAATTGGATGGTCTCCTTTCTGGCTATGAATACACTGCAAAGGTAATGCTATTCAAGTGTTCTGGTTCGTTTCTATTCAGGGGAATACAGTTGACTTAACTTTTTGATTTCACGTTTGGTTGTAGCTGTTCCCCGTGGACAGCAGTGGTAATCAGCTCCAAGGTTCAACTCCACAGGAAACAGTGGCGTCAACATATTGCTGTTGCAACTGCAATTCAATCATTGTCGGTGATACCACCGGAAGGCCAATAGGCTTGAAGGCCTATCAGGTCAAAGGTTTTGTTATGTTCAATTTCATTGACAACTCTCTGTGTGCTGAAGCCTACGCCTTTACTCGATCTTCGCTTGAGGACGAGTTCTTTGATAATTCGGATGAAACAAGAAAGAGTGTCTTCACACCGAACTACAATTACTACCCCAAGAAGAAGTGTGGTGGTGCTCCAGTCTTGCCAGGGAAAGCTGCAGCTGATGATCTGAGGACCTCCTCGCTTGTGGTTGGTGCTGCCTACCGGTACTGCGTCCGCGCAGTTGCTCAGTTCTACTCGGCAGATTCCCTGCACTCCAGTGATGAGAACTGCAACATCCATTTCGTCTGCTGGCAAGCTTCCATGTCGGGCAAGGTCACAACAGCCCCTTTGGCCGGGAGTCTACCCATTGAAGATGTTGCTGTTTCATGGGAGTTGTTGAACCCACAGCTAACTGTTGTCATTGCTTCTGGAAGTGCTGTGACCAAGAGGCCTGGTACTTATTCCATTGAGTTTGACGAGTTGCACACTGAACTTGATCGTGACAACGAGTTTCCCGTTCGAATCAAGTTTTCCAAGGCAACCACTGTTGGCAATGATACTATTACACACCAGTTCCTCTGCAATGAGGGTTCGACAGACTGCACCGATGGCACTATTGTGTATCTGAAGCATCTTACCTTTGAGGAACCTGTAGTGTCCTACGACAACTCCTCAGTTCCTGTCCGCGGAAGAGTGACAATTTGGGAGCCAAGTGGGTGCCCTGTCATTGGTGCTGAGGTGTGCCTGAAGATTAAGCATACTCAGACTGCTGACACCACAGGTGCCTGCGTCAAAACGGATCACAACGGAGACTACAATGTCCCCGCGGCCATTGGTTCCACGGTTGGCATTGAAGTCTCTTACAACAACCACACTATGAACAAGGCACCTGAGAATTCCCTGGACTACAACAAAGGTGTTTTCATCAATGTCAACAAGCGCTATGTCCGCAATGACTTTGTAGATGTGGCCAAGGCAAAACTTGTTGTGGAAGTGGTTGGTGGGCTGTGCAATAAGACCCTTGGTGTCAGTCGACTCGAAGCAACGGTAAATGGGTGTGATCGAACAAACTGGAAAATGGACCTGAGCCAAAAATTCTTCAAAGGAGAGCACTGGGTGCCTGCCCATGTTCTTGACCTGAAAGTGGTCGGCATGTCGAATGATGCAAAGAACGACTTTTCAAAGATCCTTGACTTCTTTGCGACAAAAAATATGACAAAGACTATTGACTTGCTAGATGCTGGCGATATGCAAGATGAGACAAATCGTGTTGACTCTAGCAGCAGTTCGACTTCAGAGCAGAAGAGTGAAGGTTCCAAGAGTAAAGAGTCCTATGACAAGGTCCGCTTCCAGTACGATGGTGACCTCGTCATGGACTTCAGGTTCATGGGTGTTGATTTGGCAGAAAGTTGTACCCTGCAAACAGTCAAGCCTCAAGGAACTCTCATTTCTGGTACAGAAACCACAACATCATTCCATGTCACAACTACTGGATCAACCTTCCGGCCCAAGGTGTTTTTGAAGTACTCCCTGCTCCCAGGCCTTACATGTGATATCCTTTCTGATGAAATTGCTGTGAGAGTCATCAACAAGATTGGAATAGATGCAGACTTTGAAAAATATGCATCCACCCTTCAAAGCAAAGCTGTCCTGCTAAACCGTCTCAAGTTGTGTAGTGATGATGGTGGTTGCAACTTCCCAGTGAATCATGACATCATCAATGGAAAAAAGACCAATGCACACATGCTTCCCAGAAAGGATGATGGTACTGTAGTTGCCTTTGCTGCTGGAAGGCCAAATCTTTATGGCGACTTTAGGAAGGATTTGACTCTTGAAGTCCTTGACAAGAACCTGAAAACCTTGAAGACACACAGAGCTGAAGTTGTTGTCATTGGTGACTACGTCAAAGGTCCGGGGGAGTCTTTTGCTCTACCAACATACAAGCCCATCTTGATCCTCCGGGATCCGCCTGGTGGTCTCTCCCAGTCGATTTATGAGAATGTTCAGACTTCAATCAAAGTCAAATCCTCCACAGTAGAGAGAGTGAAGGATACCACATTCCACTATGACAGATCCGTTGGAGGAGAACATGAGTACTCCATGTGTGCTGGTTTTGGAGCAATGGCATGCAAAGATGTACTGGAGATTGAAGGTGAATTTGAAACCGGCCTGGGACTAGATTCAAGCACTGTTCAGCAGGATGATGAAGATTCCTACACCTCTGAGTTCACAACAACTTGGAGCTATGCTACCAGTGACGACCCAGTTTTGGCAGGACGAAAATCAGATGTAATTGTCATTCCCAACCTCAACGTCCAGTACCACATTGTTACGACAGTTGCATTCTATGGAGGCACGTCATGCCAAGTCAACACTACTGACACTGTTAAGTTCTCTCTGACTGATCCCGGCAACAAGCCTGCTCTCTCCTTCCTCAGTGTGTACAACATTGAGACGCACCAACTGCCTGATCTGAAAAAGGCCATTAGTGACAAGAAGGCAGAGCATGACAAACTGGCTGCCAACCACCCAAACAAAACCAAGACTAAAACACAACTCAAGGTTTTGGAAGACGCGTTGACAGGCTGGAACCAAACCATGACAGATTACGATAGCATCAATAAAAATGCCAGCAAGAACAAACTTGACATTGCTGGAAGGGAATGGTTCACAAAATGGGCTTCTACAAAGGATATGATGGAAAAGGAGCCAACCATCACTGATCACTGGTCCAACCTCGCCCCAGAAGTTCTGACTGACCGAACGGAAGCTTTTGACTTTGACTACATCAAGCAGGCGAAATTAGCATCAACTGACAAGACTGACCTGAAGGAGACGAACAGAATTCAGTTCAGTGGTGGTGGTGGTACCGTGGAGTTTGTGGTGGATCATGCAGGTGCCAGTGAACTAATGCGTTTGGACAAAACCCACAAAAACGGGGCCGTATCTAGTACTGCCACCTTGGAAGGGGAAATGGAAATCTCTGCAGGTGCCAGCTTTGGCGTGGCAATTGGTGGTGGGTTCACATATGAATCATCCACCTCAGGGACCGTAACTGATGAAAGTGGCCGTCAGACCACGGTTTCTTTCTTGCTTGGAGATGAACAACCAAACGATGAGTTTGTGGTGGACATTTTTGTTGATCCAACCTATGGGACCTTTGTTTTCCACACTGTTTCCGGGTGTTCCAGGGCTCCATGGGAACCAAACACGAAGAAGGGCGAAGATCTAAGCATGTCCATGGTGAAACCAGATGGCCCTGTGATGCCAGATGATGCAGTTGTGATTGACGTGACCCTCTTGAATGCTGGTGAGACCATGGCCGTGTTTCAGGCATATGTTGACCACACAACCAACCCAGGCGGCCTGAGACACTTTATGGGTGGTGTTGGCTTGGATGTACCCATTGACTACACGCTGGGAGCGCGTTCGGAGATTACGACAAAGGTGGAGATCAGGAGGGGTCCAAAGGGCTACAAGTTCCCTTCCACAACTATGTATCTTGTGAGCTTGTGGGATGAGCTTGGCATCGAAGCTGGATCTGTTGAGATCTTCAACTTTGTAGATGCGAACAACAAGAAGTGGATTTTGTTTGAAGAACCATGTCCACGAGTAGAATGGGCTGGTTCTCTGAAGAGAGAAAAGAAGGCCTCAGTCATCAAGAATGTTAAGCCTGTTGACCTGACTGTCTTCAATCCTCAAAAGGCTGATGGGACATTTGAAAGCATTGCAAAGAACTCGCGGCTAAGCAATGTGTATGCTTGGTATCGTCAGCTTGGTGATATTGGCGATACCTCTTGGAAGAAGGCTCAACTTGCAGATAAGACACATATTGACTTCGCCAACATTCCCAATGTCAGTTCATACAAGGAAAGTCCCTATGGATATTCCAAGATTCCCTGGGACATTGGCACTACCTTGGCTTCCACAGGAGATGGGGCTTACGAGGTGATGGTCGAGAGTGTGTGTGAGACGCTGCCTGGAGCACCTGACGAGTTCAACAAATTTCAATCGGATCTAATAACTTTGGTTGTCGACCGAGTCCAGCCAGAGCTTTATGGCAAGGCTCTGCCAATCAGAGATGTTGTGGTTCCTGGCGAAGAGATTGTACTGGTTTTCACAGAGTCCATCCAGTGTGAGCTTCCCTACCGGTTTTTCTTGAATGTGACTGTTGCTGGCCTTGATCCCCCACTGTTCAGTAAGAAGTTTTTGCTGTATCTACTCATGTAATCTTGTTCAAGATTGTTTTCAACCTTACCTGCATGTTCTTATCTTGATGTACCACTACAGACGAACGAGACTTGAAGATTGACTGCCAGGGCCGAAAACTTGGATTCCAATTTGACCCAACACAAACTGGTGGCGGCTGGGATGTACTGATGGGCAAAGAAATGACAGTCACAGTGGATCAAATCAAGGATCTGGAAGGCAATGTGCTTCCCAACAAAATCACATTTCAGAAAACACTTGCCAATTTGAACCTCCAAGCAGTGACAAGCACTTTTGACTTCAGGCTGGCCACGTCTAGTTGTACTAGTCCTGTTGATGAAGCCAAGGTCAAGAACAAGATTGCAACTGAGCTGGCTCTGAGTGACTCCAGCCGGGTAACAGTTGTCTCCTCTTCGTGTGATGGCACAACCACTGTTGCCAAAGTGAAGATCAGCCCAACCAGTGGTCGGCGACTGAGGAATGAAGAAGAGGAGGGTCACAATGCTATGAGTGCCTTCTATGCCTTGCTCAAGTTGTCTTCTGGTGACACTGGTTCCAGATCCAGGAAGCTGATAAGTCTTGATGGTGCAGATTATTTCACCTTCTCTGTTGACAACATGGAGCTGGTTCCTGGAGAGGCCGACTTGAAGAAGTATGGCTTGAATGCGGAACTGACACCCGAGGAGGAGATGATCTTGGCGGCTGCCGATGCATGCGACAGTAATCACTTGGAGCAGAGGCATCAGCTGTTGAAGATGGAGCATACTGTTCGAGAGCATTTGAACCAAACAGAGAGTCACATAGACAGGATGGCAAAGGAGACTGATGCTCATATCGAGGATCTCGAAACACACCTCGAAGAACTTGACCACAAGCTAGATGAGATTGACCAGAAGATGGAAGGCAAGCTGGATGAGATCGTTGCTCGTCTATTGGAAACAAAGACTCAAACTCCTTCTGAGAGCGTTAGACCTGAACATGTCGAGCTTCCTGATGAAAAGCAGGACCTCACAGTGCTTTTGGCACAGCTTCGGGAGGAGCAGATGCTTTTGGCACAGCTTAGAGAGGAGCAGATGCAGTCCCGCTTCTGTAACATTGTCCTTGGATTGTCCCTGCTGGTTGGAATGGTGGTGTCACTTTATGTCAGAGCTGGACGTTAGCTCTTGGGTGTGATTCACACTATACATGTTTTGGTGTTTGCCGCACGTCTATAGGAGTTGGGAATGATTGATGGCAGCCCTCGGATGGTTTAGGATTGACTGTGCAGACCTCCTGTACCCATAGTGGTACCGCAATAGACTCGTGATCACTAATACCTTCCGGATTGGCGAACAGTCCCTCCGATGGCTGGCATCGTCGCAAATTTCATGTGAACTCGTAGATGTATTGGCAAGTGATGTTGGAGGGGTTTAGAGTAGGGAAATTATCTACGAAGCAAAGAACAGTGATTCCTTTCTTGGCGAGCTGGAGTTCCAGGGAAACGTTTCGGATTGGCAAGTGATTCAATTCACTGCGAGCTGATGACGCTTGTCGTCCTGACGGTATCGGTTGGTGGGCAATGCGGATGACATCAACAAGGAACAGGGATGTAAACACCTACATACTTCGCATTCAGCACATCCTGTTTGGCCTTTCACAAGTCGAGGTCCGAACGAGTACTTTTGAAGCGTTCAACCAAGATTCGATTCCAATCATGTTGCTCGGCCTCTTTCGTCCTCGAGGAATGTTTCTTGAAACTGGTTCACGCTCCCGAGTTTGACAAAGACCTTGACCTGGATGTTGGCGTCCGGATAACGATTGAATGGGACTATTCTTACACGGAGGCCGCTGCTGTGAAGATTGGAGATGGTGTCCTTGAGGGCGGCAGGTATGATGAATATTTTGTCACTGGGGTTGAAGATGCTTTGGGCGGTCGCTCCATCCCCCACTCTTCCCCATCTAGCACTCCGGGTCAACCAGATGAAGCACGAGTATGACATCGTTGTCAACCCCGAAAAGGGCATTGTCTGCGATGGTTCACCTTTGGAATTGCAAATTGACTTTGGGCTCACTGTGCGATCTTTCCTTCTTCTCCGATCTGCTTGTATCAACGTGTTCAACTTTAAGAAGATGGTGTCAGTCAGGTTCTCAGGTGTGGACAGGACCCGTCTCTGATCTCATGGGCAACATCAACGGCGAGATGTTGTCTCGCGATGGAACCGATCACTGCAATGGCATGAATGCTCTAAGAAAAGACTGACAAATCCGTGACGATGAACCCATGATCTTCAACGTCGTCTGTGCTCCCCAGTATCCCTAGAAGCGCCGTTTCCCTTATCCAAGGGCAGCTCCGCAGCGTCGTCTTGGAGAGAGCTTCGCTATCGAGGCTGCTAAGTTGACCTGTTCCAAGTACAAGGAGGACAACCCTGCCTTCCCGTACTGTGTCCATGATGTAATATCCATAGGTGGCCTCTAGTTGGTTGCCGCTGGGGGCTTCTAGGTTGGTTTTCTTTCGTTCCAGCGGTAGTATAAATCGTAGATACTGGTACAATAGCACCAAATGATAAGCTGAAGATTGCGCCGTAGAGCGAGGGTCGGTTGCCTGAATTACAATCATGGCGGGGTAGGCCACGACGCAAATGTGTTCAGCTTCGCCTGACTGGGGCGGTCGACCAACTTATTTTAATTCCATGTCGTATCCGGCGGTTGTCGCCAGCTCTAGGGGATCAACCTGGCGGGCACAGAGACGGGGTTGTGGTGGTTCCTGGACTTCAGATACGCACCGTACCGCCAGTTCTTCCGATGGAGCAAATGCTGTTCATGTCTGGCAGTTTCACATCGTAACCACGTCATACTCTCTTTTTAAGAAAAGGAAGCAGGAAGGAAGTCGATTGTTACATAGTTTTGGTTGTGCGGCCGTCCGTCAAGGCCCTGGCTACTCCATTCGAGTGTGACTTCCCCTAGAAATACATTCGCTTGCCGCGAACAAATCCATCTTTTTTGGAGGCGCTGGCAGCCTTGTTCTTCTTCTTTTTCCTCAGGGAACGGGGCGGCGAGGAGGCAAAGTTGGTTGCAGATCCATCTAATGGGTCTCGACTGTCGCCTGCCGACCTAACACTTTCACCTGTCATAATGATGCCCCTGGAGTTAAAAGCAACGGCCAACGTACCAACTTCGGCAGCAACCATAGTCTTCCACATCGGACAGGCAGATAGTTTTTGCCTTGGAACCCATGTCTCACGTTCCATTTCCACACCAGATGAAATATCCACAAGGATGGCGCAAACCGCTGCTGACGGTTCAGCCGCGTCGAGTGGATTGTTACCACGCTCCTGGTCCTGTTCGGGAGGTGTAAAATCGTAGCACAATAGAAGGGCATGGCGGTCGTCGGGACAGGTCAATTTGAATGCGACGAGTTCCCCGACCAGCGACAGAGTCTCGCAATCAGCGCCGGATCCAACATTGCATGAATTGTAGAACAGGATGATTGTCTTCCCTCTGGGGCGGACCCATGTATCGATGCAAAGAATCTTATTGCTTGTCGCCACAACCAACCGATTAGGTTTTGCAACGGGTCGATCAAAGTCCCGAGGATAGCCAAGGGATACATCCACAGTTGTCCACTCCAGCTTTTCACAGGGTGAATTGGAATTTCCCACATAGACGGACGGCGAGGAGTTGGAGCAGACCGCCACCGTACAACAACAACAAGTCTCGTGACTGCTCTGTCCAGCAGCAACACTGATCCGAGCCGCATCGGGCGATACCACTGCGTCGCTCCGATACTCGGGAAGACTGTCACCAACCCAAAGAATGGCCCCGGATTCCACGGTCAAACTGACGAGTTTCCGATCCATGAGCAACAACCCTCCTCCTGGGCCGTAAATGGAAACTTCGAATAGGACCAGCCCTGGTCCCACTGATTCAAATTCTTTGGAAACTCGCACAGTCCAATCGCTGATGTCACCGCCATCTTCGATAAAATCCAACAGAATCCGAAAACAGTTGGGGTCGAGGAGCTCGGAATGCTCCAGCAGATATTTTAATACCGTGTCCCCCACATCAATAATAGTAGTAGTCGTGGAGACACTGCTGCTTTCTTCTTCTTCCGCGGCACCGCACAAGAATGCTTCCCGACTCGTGCCGACCAACAGCTCCCGACTCTTGCTATTCTCTGCCAATAAGTCAAATTGTGTCAACAAGACAATAATGCAGTTTTCATCCAGAATCATGTTTCGCAACCGACACTGTAGTTTCTTGGTATGACGAGTGAGGTCCATACTCTGGCACACCAACTCCCGACAGACCAATCCAGTGTTGTTGGCAGTACTATTGGCAGTAGTACTGGAATTCTTTTTCGTTTCAAACAATCGCAACGAGCAGTCGTCTTCGTAGGCGGCCAAAACACGGTTGGCCGACCAGATTCTCACGCTGGCACAGGCATTTCCAGGAGCGGGAGCCCCTTTGCGACTCGAAAAGTCTTGATAGGATAGTTCCTTATTAATAGCTGGCTTCTTTGAAGTATGCTGCTGTTGCAGCTGCAAAAAGACGGCCAAACCTTGTTGGATGGCTCGTAGATTGCGCACCGCCGTGTAGTGATCCCGGTAGGCGGTCCGATAGAGTTGTGTTGTGTTGTCGTTGTCATTGTCATTGTCATCATGCAGTGGCAGTGGCCACTGTTGTCGTGCGAGCAACTGCCGCCAGAGATTGGGCGACTGTTGTCCAATTTCGCGATTCCAGGCAGTGCAGACGCGGGTGACACTAGCGACGGCGGCATCGGGCAAAAAGGTCAATATGGTTTCCAGCACGGCTCCGGGAAGATGTCGGACGATGCTCTCCAGCTCTTCTTGACTGTACTCGCTGCGGATGGAATCTTTGCGTCTCATCATACTGGTAGTAGTAGTACTGGTATGATGATGACCCCCCAAAACGGCGGCATGGATGTCCTTATTATTATGATTGTCGTCGTTGTCGGGCCACAGCCAGCCTCCCCGGGTGCGATCATAGACCATGGCACGTCCCAGACTGGCATAGACAATACTGGAAAGATGGAGCGCTTTTTCTTGCAGGAGAGAACTGACGAGACTACTGAGAAGACTAGTCTGGTTGTCTTTGACTTTGCCTTCTTCGAGTGACAGTCGTACAGGTAGAGTCAAGTGATGATTGTAGAGCATTTCCATGGCATGAGGATCCGATTCTTGGAGTGTCTCGGGGAGAGATGCGGCTGCCGCTTGACCGACAGCCTGAAAGAGGGTGTATTGCCGCGTTCTTTCCTCACAGTTGTTGTGTTTTTTGTCATCATCGTAATAGTGGACATAACGACAAGAAGAGGACGATTTTCGTCGTCCCGCATTGGAGCCTGATGACGACGACAGAGGACAGTTTCCTTTAAAAAAGTGGTGTCGACACAGCAGTGGAGCAGCCGAAGTTTCCTGACTGCTGCTGTTGCCCAAGCGGTCTTGTTTCTTTCCTCCCTTATTATTGGACTTGCTATTCATGACGTGAGCTTCAGAAGGAACCGAATTGGATCGGGACCGCCCCTTATTATGGGGTGCATCTTGTGAAGTTCCGACGGACGCCGATCGATTGCGGCGATTCGACTTGCTACTAGTGTCATCTTCTTCTTCTTCTTCTTCTACCGACGCACCTGGAATGTCCGTCCACAGATGCAACACCAGTGTCTCCTGCTGTTGCAATTGCAATTGTAACTGTAACGGCAATAATAACGAATCCAACTTTTTCAACAACTCTTGCGCCAGAGACTTGTACTGTCGTCGATCGTCGGATCGCTTCTTGCGTTCTTTCGCTTCCTTGCGACGAGCTGCACTCTCCTCCACGCGGACTTGGTAGTTCCGGTTCTTCACCATGGTGGTGTGTCTGTAATCGATTCAAAGTTGTTCTGTTCCTTGGTTCTTCCTTCACACAAGTTGCGGATCTTTGGGAATGTGTGATGTCTTGGATATCTTATTCAAAGTGCGTTGGCAGAAGATGGATCTCGCCTTCTCACTATTTGACTGCTCAATTGGCTTAAATGTGTTTCAGTAGGGGTAGTGCTTTGATGGTCCACATTCCAAGCACGCGGAAGGTACAGTAGACATGGAGGAACAGAACCATCAATCCTCATACGACCTTTTCCCCCCTAGCTACCCTTTGCCCTACTCCCGTCCTCCCTCTCTACCAGTGCTACCCACTACCGGTACCGATGCCACCGCGCTGCCTAGCTTAGCCCCCGCCCCCCGCTCCTTAACGTATCTATTCAGTACCGTACTTATTTGACATCATCCTACGACCTGGCAGCTGGCAGCTACCAGTACCGTACTTTGGATATTCCCTTACGTCGCAGTAGTCTCGGCAAGCCGTCCTTGCAACGATGGCTGGACGCCAACAACATTACAATATTGTGAATCCAGATCCCGTGAGATGACATTTTACCATGTGCGTAACCGGACCGAGTATGTTACATGGATCAAAGCCAGACTGCATCGCGACCCCTCCTCTACTAGAGGCCCCGTCGCTGCCTTTTATTGCTTTTGGCTTTGGAAGAAAAGCGCGTGACGTTTTATCGTGGGAGCCTCTGGCATTCGTTCGCTTTTGGAGGCCAAGCAACTCAACTCATACGTACGGTACAGTAGGATGGAATCAAGCTTCACCAAAGATCACGAAGGAGTACAAGGGGAACAATTGTTGAGGACGAACGGGTACCATTAGCCCTTTCTAGCTAGCAGGAGGTGGTGGCTGAATGGTTCAATTGCTCTGCGATGCATTGCCATGCCATGCAGTGCTCGCCACCGCCTTGAAGAATCTTCCTACAGCTCTCATTGGCTGATTGGAACAGGTCAACGTCCTCGTAGCGACTGATTGACGACCACCTTGACCGACTGTCACTCTGGCTGGAGGGAATGCGACTTACAACTAACTGTACCGGTACACAGTGTACGGTATGGGTCCAACAAGCTACTAGCTAGTATATTGGAACACAGTGTTTTGACTGATTGGCGGGAACTGTCACAGCCCCGCTGAGTAGCACGCTCCAACTACGCGAGCAGCAGACTTGGAGCGGCCTAGCTGGACGATGCTTTCACGACAGGGAGACTTTGCTAGCTTCCTACTGCGGGTTCCTACGAGGAGGGATAAAAGTTTGGCTGAAAGTTATACAAGATAGTGCGGGTATTCTGGTTTACTAAGCAGCTGGAGCAGCAGGAAGCACAAAGGTATCCAACCATAAACATGGCCCCAGGTTTTGCATCAAGATTTCAAAGTCCTCTTCAGCACCTTCCTCCAGTGGTTCAATAGTCATCATGGAATCAAAGAGTTTTTCACCCCAGTCAAGATACTCATTCAACTCCTCTGAACGGAGTTGCAGTGACAGCAGGCGAGCCAAGTTGTTGACTGTAGCCAGCACAACCAATCTCATGGTTGCAGATGCTACAACAGATGGTGCATCTAATGTGGATTCGACAGCCTCCAGAGCTGATTGATAAAACTGAATGGCGCTTTCATTGCATTTGTATGCATCTCCCACTGGACCTGATTTGGCTTGAAGATCATATGCAAGCCCCAGGTTGTACAGCAACATGACCAGGCATGAGCGAGCCTGATAAGGGTTCATCAAGTCTGTCATCTCCCTCATCTGAAATGCCTTGGGGAACATGACAAAGAGTCCATCTTCATCCCACAAACATGCTTTGGGTGTGACGGGAAGGCTTTGGATATTTACCATGTCCTGATCATTGGCACCCGAGAAAACCATTTCGTGGTCTTGTTGATCCTGATGGAGTGCAAGTGATCGCCGAGCTTGATCAACCTGCATCTGGAAGATTTTCAGAGCTACCTTGAACAAGGATATGGCAGATGAAGTATTACCCCGCTGCAAGCATTGGATGCCATTGGTGATGCAATCATGCAGATTCTCGCTGTGCGTTTTGTATGCGCTCATTTTCATTCGGCTCGACTGTCACTCGGTTTGCAATTCAAGAAGAGGCAAAAGAGACTGATCAGAGCAAAACCAGAACTGTATTCGCAGGAGAGCCGAGTTGCAAGAGCAAAACACCAACATGACAATTACTAGCTAGAGCACGATTTGTTAATAGTTGCTGTGCCCACTTGGTACATTTTTCAATGAAGGTAAGGGAATTCCCCGCTCCTTCTCCGGCCTCTCCGAGTGCTGGAGTCAGCTTCGAAAGAGCCGATCAACTGCCACATCATTAACGCGATACCGGTGCGGAGCTGAAAGATCATCGCTCTTCAGTGCCAAAGTAGACGCTTAGTGGGACTGAATGTGCGCGTAGCACTCTAGCTAGGGACAGGCTTGCTTGTGGGACACGCTTCAACCTCGAAAGGGGCTGTGACGCTGTGACATACGACTGTACCGGTACTAATTAGCTAGTAGCGGGAGCGGACGCGTAACTCTCGGGTCCGTAGATAGATAATCTACCAACTCTATTTCCCGTGAAGCTCTATGACAATTTGGATTCGCACTGCGCATGGTGGTTACAAGCTACCAGGTACAGGGAGCACAGTAAATGAAAGGAGGTATAAGAGAGAAAGGGATATAAGACCGTTCGTGTTACAAGCTGGGCGGCAATTGAATGAGCGGATCTTCGATGGTTCGACGAGTGCAAGCATGGCCAGGAGCGGCTGAACAACAAGCAGAACGAGAACCGGAAAATGGAATCACCAGCGATTGGATGGGTGGGCGCTTCCAGCGCGTGTTGTTGCAAATGAAAGGAAAATGTCAACGTTTCTGGCAGCGACGGACGACAATCATCGACCAGATCCACTCGTACAAGCGACCAAAGGTTTCACCTTTTCTGATGGCGAAGCAACTGGACCAATCAAGGGCCCGAGAGAGGGATGCCAGCTCGAACCTACCGCTCCATGTGAATCTGACCGAAGCGAGAGCTAGAAAGATCCATCCGAAGAAAAGACGACAAAACAAATTGACAATGCAATTGCACAAGGTCAAAAGAGCCTCGTCTTTATAAAACCTACTAGGCATGCTGTGTCACAGACGACCCTCGGAATGTAGACTTAGCTGGGCTCCTCTATAGGAAGGATAGATGCCGAGCAAGTCCAAGAGCAGAAAGCAACCACCAAGAAGACACACCGTATGCAGAGCTAGGCCCAGACGAAAAAGATGAAGGATGAGAACAATGACGACCCGCCAAACAGAAGAGCCAAAATCTACGTTGCACAAGGACGAACCAGAGACAATAATCGCCCTCAGTCGACGCGATAGGAATCATTTTATCGCCGGAATCGAACAAGGAGGAGCCCTCTCTTACTGGCAAGCTCCACCGATTAGAAACCCTACCGATGCCAGTTCTCCGGGACACCCGTATTGTCAGCAGTGGATGCGACGAGACACGTGTGGCTGGAAGGTAACTTTTGGCTTGCTTTAGATCGTAGATATTCTTTTGTGGGCCTTTGATGTTCAGGCTGTAAACTTGGCCCTGGAGATTGACTGCGAGAACCGTCCCGTTTTCCCGTAATGCATGTACTAGCGAGACTCAAGGATCCAAAAAGCTTAGCTCAGGTTAACTTTACTGGAATTGCCTGGCATGCTTTGTGTTGACAAGATGAAGCTATCTGGTACAGAAACGCACAAGAAACTGAAAAGCTTGCGAAGACGGAGTCATAGTGTATTGAGGATAAGGAGAGAAAATGCCGTAGCGTTCCGGTCATCACAACGCAGCCTCGTCGGGGGTGGATAAAAATGCAGAGAACCAGCTTCTCCGACGTGGGCAGGAGCACTTCAGGTGGGATTGCCTCCGCACGATGGGCCTTGAAGCGTTAAACTGATTTTGTTGTATTTTGCTCAGGCTAGCCTCTGTTTGAGTGGCCACTGTGGTGAAAACATACGGATTGGGCTGGTTAAAGCATATTTCAGCCGACTTCACGCCATGTGCTCTCGCAAGCGGCCCCTCATCATGAGGGAAGTGCTAACATTCGAACGATCCATTGGGTCATCCTGAAGGCGGTAATGGGCACCCCCTGAAGCAGATCCCCAATATGCATCAGGCGTTATTGCCATTTCTAATATCTCTTTGATCTCATTCCTGAGCTCTCCCAGTTCTGATCGAATTGCAGCAATCTCGTTGTTTGTGCGTTCCCCAAATTCTTCCGTCTCAACCATTCTCGTGTTGTTGACCTCTTTCCTGAGCACTTGCAGTTCTGATCGCATGGCAGCAATCTCACTCCTTGTATCTTCCCCGGGTTGTTCGTTCTCTTCCATCATGTTGATTCTGTTTTTGTCTATTCTCAGTGTGTCAACGCTAATGAAGTTACCATCCGTATTCGGTACCATCATGATCATTGAAGGAGTTGCTTCTCCTGTTTCGTTCGACTCTCCTGTGCTGCTTTGCTTTCCTATTTTCCGGACAAGTGCCTTTGTTGCTTCTCTTGTCCTCCTTTTCCCATGTTTGTCATACACTGTGGTGACATGGGCAATGACTATTGCAATAAACATTACACCCCAGTGACAGGCAAAAGTTCCAATCATCTGCTCCAGAGTAAGCTTTTGTGCATCTTCATCGGGAGAATCGCCCATAGCCGCAACAGATCCACCAGCAGCAGCTTTTCCGCCAGCCTTGAGTGCTCGATGTCCTCTTTTAGCAGTGCTACTACGAGTGCGAGGAGCTGAGGGTGAAAATTGTCATGTCCTTGTCGCAGCTGTCGTTTGCGGGCACCCTCCTCGTCTTGGGCCTCCTTAATTTCTGGTTTGTAGGTGAGGCAATCAATGGTCTTGGTTCTCTCAAATTCATTTGCCCAAGCCCGTGCCAGGAACCCCTCCTCGATTATGTCTCGCATATGTAAATCGAGGACATCACGAATCAATCCAGTGCATAATTTTCCTGAATCAGCAGTAAGAGCAAAACCAGATCCAAGCTCCTTTTCTTTGCCCCCCACCAAATACATGTCGCATTTTTTATTGTACTCTCGAATCCCCTTGAACTTGCTCCAAGTGGCATAGCTTGTAAGCATGTATTCACATTCACCATTGAGAAGTCCCTCAAATTGTTCCAATTCTGAGTGTTTTGGAATACGGACTGCCTTCCTGTAGTTGTCCTGGAGATGAAAATCTATATAGGTATCCTCCCAAACGCACATCTTTTTGCCACCAACGACAACCTCATCAAGTGTTTGCGGTCCTTGAATTTGTCTATCCACAAGGAGAGAAGCAAGATTTGCAGTATAGGTTGCAGTCATGACAAGGGCCCAAATGGCCATGCTGATGCCGAAGATTCGACTTGCCAATGTCTTGGGTTGGTACTCATAGGCTTGTGTCGAATTCATGAAACTAAGGTAAACATTCTCCAGCCACCATTCCCACATGCCTCTGTCTTCTCGCTCATCAGCATACCATTCGAGGATTTGATAGACAATACCACTGAGGAAAATGGTAAACAATGTCACAGCCCAAACTGCAGCGTCGTAGGGCTTGAGCCAGTTGAAGAATGATGAAATCGTGACATCGCTACTGCTCTGAGCCTGGAACACATCCCTGGTAACCATAATCATACTAGAATCTAGAAACGCTTCTATGAAAACAACACCATTGTTCATTCGATCAAGACTGTGGGCCCACCAATCTGTTTTCCAGTTTTGACCAATTCAAAAAAGTTGTTTTCCAAAAAAGAAGATGGCGGATCAGTCCGTACGGTCCAAAACATCCCAACACGGAATAGGCCAGGACTGCATGCCAAGGCCGAGAACCCACCAAACACAAGGGACACACTTACCGGCCACTATATCATAGGAATCTATACCCCAGTGAAGCGTTTCATCCCAGGTCATGTTATGTGCTGATGGGTCCGTGTAAATGCCAAAGCTATTTCGCCAGGTGAATCCTCCTCTCCTTCCCACCTCATCCAGAATAACTGGAATCAGGCCAGGCTCCGACTTGTCGATTCCATTTTCTGGATCGTAATTGAAATAGGCTCCTTGATAATTACCAATAAATACATGTAATTGCAGGCCTTCGAGAGCACGCCGCAACTCCAACCTGTCGTCATAGAAGGCAAAAAATCGATCACAGACATTCTGACGATGGGACACGTTGGAAGCTCCTAGAGGAGTTGTGAAAAAGATCTTTTCACCTCCCAAAGCATCCGCTAAATGAAGAATCACAAGCAGGAATGCACAGAGTGATGGCGCTGCTCTAGTCTTCGGTCGGGATGTCGAGAAGAGCGCCATGGTTTTGTTTGGCTGTGGCCATGGGAAGTTACGAAGGCTTGATGGGGTGCAGAGTTTGGCGATGTTGGACCACCCAGGACAGCCATGGAATGACGACAGCCTTCTGCGTGGTCACGGAAAGGTGCGTTCTTTCTCACTGTATAACATCTCTCTCATGCGCGCACCTGCACACCCTACTGGATCCCTGTAGAAATCTCCCTGTACCTCTGCCGATTACTTTTGGGAAACTTTGCCTCCACCCTGCCTGCTTCCCCCACCACAGGGGACTCAGCTGACACCAGTCCCTAGTGGCGGGTGGGCTCCTTTGCCAGACTGCCTGGCTCTGAGAGTATGGTGGGCCAAACTAGCATTAACACTTAGGAATTCGCAGCATTCAAATGGGAGAGTACCATCCATACTGCTGCTACTGGTGGCGGTGCAGGTTGTGTTGGTGGCACCTGCACCAGGAGTAGCACCAGGAGCAGCACCAATGGACTGGGTTGCCACCCATCTCATAGTTTCTATCTGCTATTTGGAAAGATGAGTAGCTCCCCTGATACAGCTGTTGCAGCCAGAGACAGCCATGACGGCAGTGGCTTTGCCGGTACCTCGACCAACGACATTTCCATTGCCGGAGAAGCCACCACGAGGGCCGAATTTGATACTTTTGCTGCTGCCGAGTATGAACAAGATCTCCCACAGCAAGCACCGGATCTGAACGACGATTTGGAGCTCTCAACCGAGGAGTCGGTACCTCCGGCCGATTGTAAAATTCTGCCGTTACTGGAGCTTTATCCCAACATGGAACAAGATCACATTTGCAAGCCATCAGTAGAGAGGGCGATTCGATGCATCGCTCCTCGTTGGGCCAAGTACTGTGGCACGATTAACCAACAGCGATGAGTGGAAATCCACGTGAACTCCCATTGTGGTGCGAAGCAGCTGTGCTGGTTTAGCCAGGTGGAAGAATCGCTGTGACATCTGTATACTCCAACAGTAGGGTCAGCAGTGCAGCCATCTGGCAATACAGAAATAGCTGAGGAACTCTATATACCCAAGGATGATGCAGTTCTTCAGCCAAGACCAATATAGAAAGTTAGCTTGCCAGCACCAGTCAAATGAGATGCAAGAGAGCCAAAGCTGCATGGCTGAGTGCTGTCGAGGATTTTGTGTTCAGTTGATTTTAGCATAGTTTAAAAGAAGAAGAAGTAATGAAAGGATAGTTGACCAGATACAGCCCCAGTAGCACTAGTTTCCCCACAGTTGAAGCCTTCCTGTGTGGATTGTGCCAAGGCAAAGAGTGAGTTGTTCAATCATTGCTGTGGAGATTGAGTAACAGCGGCAGCCAGCTTTGTGGCTGGCCCATTCCCATTGTCAGAGGAGTGAGGCTCCAAGCAGAGCTCTCCACTCCCAGCCAACTCTTTGTGCATCTACCCTGACTGGATCTCATCGGATTAACATTGTCGCAGATTGCACGCACAACGAGTGGCTCTGCAGGAGTGTGGAAATCCAGGAGAAAGAGTGAGAGGAGTTGCTCATCGGCCGATCGCGACTGCCGATACGGCGAACGACCGAAAACTGGAATAACGACCGATTCAAGTGGAAGCACTTGGTCCACCTACTAACCAGAGGGTGCTTGAGACGATACACCAGCCAGTTTCTTGTTAATCGGCTTGGTTACGGCGGCCGCGAGTGGAATAGGAACGGCTCATCACCATTGTCAATCCTTCCCTTTTCCTACGGAAATCCTCAGTCGTGCCTCCGGAGATAGCTACTGCGGTGAAGGGAACCGGTACTCACACGGTACTCACAGAACCGGTACCGAACCTCTGTTCCGAAAGCAGGCCGAGCCGAAGATCCGAGTCACCTCACATTTTCCTCGGAATTCCGAACTGGAAGATACGTACGGATTCGCCGTGAAGATACGTGTCAATCCAAGGCTTCGATTGACAACTCGAAGCACCACGAGACCACCTTTCGACTGGTGTCAATGACTTCTATCTCCACAAGGTGGGATGCAACATCTATATCCACTGGGCTGAGGGGATGGACCAGGATGGTCCTCAACATCACTCATCAATCCTGAACCAAACCAATTGGTTCTGACTGCCTTGAGACTGTGCTATAGAACCAGTGGTTCCTTCCACACATTGTCGATGGGCAGTAAACCATTAGGATGGTGATCCAATGAAGAGGAGTCATTGGAAGGAATAGGGCTGATCCCTCCAATACCCATGAGGCCAAGTTGCTGTTGGTTTGGTCCATCAAGGTGTGGACCAACCATGATGGAGACACTAGACTGGTTGATGTCCTGTTGTTGTTGGGATAGCCTGGCCTCAAAAGCAGCCTGGCGCTCCTGGTCTCCTCCTTTTGTTGGTGCAATGCCTCCATCAGTTGTGCTAGCTGTTGGCTAATCATGGTGGTATCATGCTTGGCAAGGTTGGAGGATGCAACAGATGATCACTGAGTGGTAAGATGGTGGGGGAACCCAGGTAGCCGGTGGACTGAGGGTGGATCCATTGGTGACTTGACAGGAGTGTGGTGGTGGTTCAGTGCTACCTGGTGGTGTTGCCGGTGGTGGTGGTGGTGGCACCGGTGGTGTATTTGTTGCCAACGGTGTTGCCACATCCTGTGGTGGGTGTCTGTTGCTGTTGCAGCTGTTGCTGTTGGCGCTGCTGCTGCTGCTTTTTCCTCCTTTTGCTTCTGCGGTACCCATGATGACTGCTGTGGTTGTGCTGGCTGAGTGTGGTGTAGAGGTGTTGAACAAACACTGTCACGAAAAATCCAAATGGAGACTTGAAGCCTTGCACTGTTGGTCAATGATCAAACAAAGGCTGCTTGACACACTGGTAACCAGAGAACCCTTCCAAACACTT